ATTGCTCCCTAACATTATATCCAATTATTTTAAATATATTTTAACTTCTTTTCTTTTTTGATAGAACAATTAGGGATTAAAAATCTTAGTTAAATTTACGTTTTTAAATAAAAAAAAGAATAAATATATATAAGTATTTTAAGACAAAAACATTTTTATTTCGATTTTGGTTATAGGGACAGAGACTTGAGTTAGGGAAGCTTGACTGTAAGTGCGAGGATGGAGAAGGCAAGGGCACATCATGCCACACGACTCTCGTACCGCGGGTCTGGGCACCTGAGTACCTGAGTACCTGAGTATCTGAGTTTCTGAATATCCGAGTGTGTGACGCAGACTGCGATGAGGTGACTGAAGTTTGTTATTTCGATTTTGCAGTTAGGCGATCGGGAGTGGGACGGGGTGTTATTTCTACTCACAGATCCTCGGGGTTCGTCCACTGTGCACCGGTGCCCTGCAATTGTCTCCGCTTATATTTGCGGGTTATTTTTAGAGCCCAGTACCGAGGACTAGCAATTATCTGTGCAGTTATTTATCTTTCCGTATGCCAGCTACTTGTGGATTCTTTGTCAGATTCTCGGTCAGCTTGTGGCGCGGTCGTGCAGTCGGATTAATAAATCGCTCAGGTATTACTCATTCGCTATTAATTTAAATTTCGTTTATTCGATTATTGTTTATACTTGTAGTTAGGATGGTTTAGGGCCCCCCGTCCTCAGCGCTTCGGGTTGTTGTTGTTGTTGTTGTTGTCGTTGTTGTTCGAGGGGAGAGGTTAATTTGTTCTATTCTATTCTAGTTTTTTTATTTCTCGCGCGCGCTCGCGTTCGTTTCGTTTGAGTTGTTGGTTCGTTTCACACTGAGCAAGGGGAATCATTGAAATCGCTGCTCAGGCGAGAAATGAAAATGTTTTTCGGCGAAAGAACCGAAAAATATAAGACAGCCGCCGCTCTCCGCTGCATTTTGGGGCGGGATTTTTTTTTTCGAGAGGTGAGAGGATTATGATGCCACCGCCAGTGGTCAGCGGTGAAGAGCTTTTCCGGGCACCCCTCCACCCCCATTCGCACCTCGAAGTTGCCAGACTGCCGATGTGGCGTATGCGTAATGCGGGTTTTCCACTCTAGAGCGTCAAGTGTTTCAGCCAGAGGTTTATTGTTTAGTTAGCCCTAATTGCCGACGAGTCTCGGGAGAACTAGCAGGCAAATTAAATTACAGCTTGTGTGCGCTCAACTACAAGATGATCCCTGGTTAACTTTCCACTTTATCGGATTACACGAATTCCGAGTAGACCTATCTAACTTGTCCTAGCAACAAACTTGACTGCCGGCGATTCTTGGGAAAAGTTTTGTGCAGCTTCCGCGAAAGTGCCTCAATTACGGCTGCCAATTAAAAAAATCTCACACAAAAACCGCTCCAAAAATCGCCAGTTCGTCATGTTTAACCTTCAGTGGCAGCGCATTGGACCTTGAATTGTAAATTAATTAGAGTCGGAAGCGAGCAGTGAAAGCCAGAGGCAGAGGCATACCATGGACACGGGATACGGATGTGGAAGTGGATGAGGATGTGGAAGTGGATGAGGATGGGAGTGGGAGTGGGCAACCGAAAGCCCCGTTCAAGGACTTGCCAGCCACTCGCACACACAAGCCCAGTCAGTCGCGTATCCGTGTGTTTATGTGGCATCTACAGGTAGCCGCAGCAACGACACCCACAATCCTCGAGTCCTGCCCCGCTTTTATTTCGATTTTCTAACGAAATCGAAACGCTACACGCTCGCAGGGAAAACAATAGAGAGCGAGAGCTGGCAAAGAAGGTAGTGGGAAAATGGGAGGGGGTTTTGCGCTGAAAAGAGAGCGGAACAGAGTCACCTACTGCGCTTCGGAAAATGCATTCCACGTCACTGGTATAAGGAGGCTGCATCCTTGATGTCGCTGCAAATTGCCCGTCCAAAGGCGAAACTTTCCGTTGACTCCAAACCGTTGCTTTGCTTTTCGCACTGTTCAAAACTTTCCAGCTCTCGTTTTGAGTAAATAATTCATGGCGAATATATTTTTAAGCACACACCAACACACACACAGATGTTCACCAACACCGAGGCAGTCGCGTAACCAAAACAATCCTGTCACTCGGAGGCCGAAGGACCGCTTTTCCGGGAGTCCGTTGCGACCAAGGACGAGCACTCGCCTCGACTGTCCTGTGGCAACTGAGCTCGACTGCACTTGGAAGCTCTCTCCTTGCTCCGCGCTGCCTCCCACATTTTCCCACTTTCCCACTTTCCCACATTCCCACTTGCCCCCCGCTTCCCGCTTCCCATTTACCACTTTTCCACCCGGTGACCAACTTTTTGTCGGCTCGCACTCGGCTGTTGAACCGAATGCTCGGCTGGCATGTAGGCCACAACAGAAACGAGCCTCCTTTTTATTGAATTTTTGAGCACACGCAGGACACGACATCCTCTGGCCGCCGAGCAAAGCTTTTCCAGGCGGACGGAAAGGGGTGAAAAGCTGGGCTGGCAGCTCCGTATGCTAGCGGTAAATTGCAGGCCAACAAAGTTGTAAACAAATCATTAAAGGCTGGAAATATCTGGGGTGGTGAAGCTTTTTGGCCTCCCTACCAGAATACAGGGAATATAGGTCCTTTTGCTTTTCGCTAGGAGCTTTGAAGAGCTTGAATAATCCTATTTTAACAAAGATGACCGTTATTGAAAAATTTAATTTAATTCGAAACCGATTGTAAATGCTTATGGATTGTCTAACTTCTTAGTGTAATGCGTAATTGAGAATAATTCAGTTGCGGGCTTGTATTTCGGTAACGTTATATTTTTATTAAAAAAGTAAAATTCTTTAGTTTTACGAATTGCTTTAGATAGCAAAACTTTTGAAATAATCAGGAAATGAAGGTTTCGTTTAATAAACAATTCTATTTTACAGAAAAACGTTGGTTAATCTTTGATTTTAAGAGTAAACATTTAAATGTAACAACTTTAAACTTTTCTTAAGCTGATCCAACTAGTTTTTAAAATTAAAAAAAAAAACATTTTACAATGTACACCCTTAAAACCGTTATGAAGTATGCACCGGAAGTAGCTTGCGCCCTCTAGCGTTCAGCCATGGAATATTGTTTAAATGCTCGTTTTCACCATGTGGCCAAAGCTCCGCCATATGTATATATATATATAAAATCAGCATCGGAGAATTGTATTGAAACGACTGAGCTTTTGGTGCAACAACAAATTATTTTTGTTTGTTCGCTGCTTTGTTGGTTCTGAGAGCGACAGCTGTTGTTGTTACCGCGAGAGCGTGAGTGTGTGTCTGAGTAAGCAACTTTTGTTGTTTCAATGTTTCCTGAGAGTAAGAAGAAGAGCGACCTAGCGTACACTGGAACGAAGATCACCGGGATTTTGCAGGTATGTACATTTCCAGGTAAATCAGTTTGGGTTCATGGTTGTGTTTATTTTGCGTGGATTACAGGGTCAAAAATAATGTTAGAGGTTTGAAAAAGAATGAAGTAGCTAAATTTTAAATTAAGTAAACAATTCAAGTTGCGTTCTGTGGAAAATTAGTTATGCATTTCCTTCAAAAGTTATTCAAAAATGATTTGATCTTAACTGGCACTGTGGAAATTGCAGTAAAATTAAACAAATATTTTATTGGTTGTACAAATCACAATTCTTCTTACATTTTGTTAAATAAAATGGTGTGTATATTAAGTAAGTCCAGATTGTTTGATTGATTGTAAAATGATAGACTTTGATAGAAAGTAACAAACAATATTTAATATTTTTACGATTTTGTCTAAACTAGCTGTGGTTACAGTAAATATGTAACATATGTATGTATGTTTGTAAGAATTATCCTGAAAGATCCGCTGCGATCCTTTCGGGGTGACTTTGCTGCTGACGACAAGCAACATTTCGGGTCACAGTGCAACATTTTTTGTGTGCCTGTGCCGTTTCCCTCCCCCACCCTTTTTGCATCTGAATCTTTGCATTTCGTACCGCGCAGTTGCCGTTTCTCTGGCCCGAAAACACTGGGCGAATGTGTGTGCGCATTGTTTGTATTATTTGTTGTTCGTTGGCAGCAACAACAATAAAAAGTTGCCTGCTGCTCAACGCCAGCTGTGTGTGTTTGTATTGCCGCGCTGGTGTGTGTCCGTGTGAGTATCTGTGTGAGCGGCGGAGAGCGGGGTTTTGTGCGTTGTTCTCTGTTTGCTCGCCGTCCGCTCGTGTCGTGTTGTTGCTTCAATGTTCTACGTAGCCAATAGATACTTGCTACACAGAAAAAAATTTAGCTAAGAATCAAGTCTTTGCCTTTGCTGTTGCATTAAAAATTTTTAAATACCTTTAAGAAATCAAATGGTATAACATTTTTTTTAAATAATATGACAAAGTATAATTGGTAACTGGTGTAAGCTGGTGCATGAATCAACTGCGGATGGCATTCAAACACACTTCCAAATAAACAATTTTATTTTAGTTTTTTACACATTTGTACTTTCTATTTCTAGTAAAACTAGTTCAACTAATTGAGTCTCTAAGTTGAGGAAGTTGTTTTAAAATTTAAGTCCATGGACCTATCATTAAAATATGATATGGAAACATAAACTAATGCAGAAAGTATCTGGTTGAAAATTGAATATTGGTCATCATATACTTTTAGATTGTTAAAAATTGTTTGACATTCTAATGCATTCGTCATCATTGCATTCAAAACTTTTATTATAACATCGAATATTGGACTTGACTCAAAATGATGTCTATACCAACTACATTTCTCTTTTGTGGAAACATTAGTATCAAATCTAGAATTCCGATATTTTAAATAATGAAGTTAATATGTACATTATTTTTGAAACATATAGTCGATCATTATAATATGATCTATAGCATTCCAGTATTTTAAGTTATGAAATTAATACTTTTGTACCATAAGTTTTTCTTTCTGTGCACCGCTCGCTCTCGTATCTGCTGGCTGGCAGTCGCATTTGTGACTGTGTCTGTGCCTGTTTCTCTGTGTGTTTAGTCGCCTTCGTCGCTTGGAACGCGAAACATACGACATCGCCAACAATCCAACAGTCCGCCGCCAATTCCCGAGCACCGTGCACCGCCGACCACGAGTTTCGAATTCAACATTTTTGAACGTTACGTCAGTGTTGCTGCTGTAGCTGTGTTGTTGCTGCTGTCGGTGTCGTTGCAGCAGCAACAAAAATATTTTTGGCGCCGTTTTATTTGTGCGCGGCTGTGTGTCGAGCGTTTTGAAATCGTTGCGAACAAGGAGCGTTTTGAAATCCGCCAATTGCCAGGAGCTTTCGAAATCAACAGTCCTGCTAATTCACAAATCAAAAAAACAAAGAAGAAACCAAAGGTAAAAAAAAAATCTTCTACGCACAACATCAGAAGTTAGAACAACAGCAACAATAATACCCCGATAAGCAGCAGCAAGAAAAAATTCTATATTGCCATATTGTTTCCTTGTATGCGATTGTCTGTGTATTGCTCTGTCTATTGTTGTTGTCTTTACTGCTACTGCTGTTGTTGTTGCTGCTGTTGTTGTTCTTGTTGCTGGTGTTGCTGTTGCTCTATCTAACAAAGTTATTGCTTTTGTTGCTGTTGCTGTCATTGGGCCACGGAGCAATATACAATATATATGTATATCTGTAGGAAGGGGAAACAAAGAGCGCGCCGGGGATTTCTGCAAGTTTTCTGTGTGTTTTGTTAGCTTTAGAAATATATTCTTTTTTGTTTTTATTTTTTGTTTTTGGTTGGGTTTTTTGTGTTTGCTGTTGCTGTTTCTGTTTCTGTCTGTTTCGATTTTCTTCTTGTTTTTGAACGTTGTTCGGGCGGTAGCTGTACTTTTTTTTTGTGCCCCGTTGCTAATATATAAACATGAATATTTCTGAAAGAATAAGTACAAACACATATCGCACCGCTCATGCTGATATGTTTATGTTAAATAGACGTAATACAATAAATATTGCCATAGCCAGGTTAGTTGTTTTTCTGCTGTTTGCTTGGTATCTGCGCCATCCCCGCCCACGTTGTATAGTTCAATCACAATCCAACAATAACATTAACAAAAACAACAACGGCTAGAACCAAAACACGCGAACAACATTCGCCTTGATAATGATGTTCGTTGATTATAATGATGACTGGCCAAACAATACAACAATGCTACGAGCGAACAGTGGGACGAAAAAGTGTCTCAAAAATTATTAATTTACTTTAATTTTTACCCCGCAAGCTACAAGAATATTGTGATTTTGAAATTTGTGTTCACTAGATTATTCCGAATTTAATGGATTCCTAACGCTGCTTACGTTTTTTCCACACAGCTTATCAGGAACTCAAACTTAATCTGATACTGATAACGATTAGCCAGAACTGAATCTAAATCTCAGAAGGGCTTAACTTGTCAATACATAATCTATAAACAATCATACAAAATTATTTTAAATCTGATGTTTAATCTCAACCTTTTAAAATTTGTCCATAACATTTTTTCATAAATCAAAAGTTAATATTCAGAAAAACATTGGTAATGTTTTCAGTTTTAGTTCAGTTCGTAAAAAAAGACTTCATTTCAGTCTATATTAAACAAGTAAACCCTTCTATGAGATCTTAGTTATTTACAATAATAAAAAAAAGATTTATGTTTAAAAGAGTGTTTGTAGCATATGATAAAAAATTTCGGATTTATAAGTGACTTACAAAATTAAACCTTTGACAGTGACTTCAAACCTATAGAAATTTTTTAGAAAAAGTTTTTTTTCCTCCTTCATATAAGATTTTAATCCCCCGAATTCCATTTAGTTTTAGCCCACTGTGCGCACGTTTTTTGATGTGCAAAAGTGGTGGGCTCACCGCAAGGTGCTGAAAGTGGCGGGAAAACTGTAAGTGATTTAAGAGAGGCCCAAAAGTGTCGTTTAAACGGGTGGGTAGGGGAGGGGAGGGTAGGGGGCCCGAGTGAGTGGACAGGTGAGTGAGTTGGTGAGTGGGCTGATTAGAATCGAAACAGGTAGTCGCAGGTGCGAGAGCGATTCGTTTTGCGAGTGAGTGAGTGCAGTGGGTACCCACACTCACAATTGTGACTATTCGATGCATTTGGCCAGCATGTTTTCGGATATTGCAACACAACATTGCATGCTGTTGCAGCGGCTGCTGCTGTGTGTTGCTGCTGCTGCTGCTGCTGCAATGTTGCTGCTGTGTGTTGCTGCTGCTGTTGCTATTTTCGCTGTTGTTGCTGCTATCAGTGAACCAACCAGGCAAAAGCTTTCAGCTTTCAAAGACAACAAAAACAAACAGCCAAATTGCCTGTTATTTTTATGGCCGCCGCTGTCATTGTTGCTGTTGTGACTATAATAATATGAAAAGTAAACAAAGTTGCTGTCGTCGTTCCGCCGTTGTCATCAACGTTTAAACGAACGCCAGCAGTGTCGCCCGTTTTCTCTCGGGTTTTGGCTTTGGCTTTGGCTTTCCAGCTCGCAAAACTGTACTGAAAATAATAGCAACTACAACAATGTCGGCCGCAATGTTTTATTAAGTTTCACGAAATATATATATGAGCGAAAAGCTCTATTCCTCCGTCGTTTGCTGAGACAGCAGCAACAGAACAGAACAGCACAGCAACAGAAACCAACACAAACAAAATACAAATAACACGACAAAACGAAAAGAAACCGAACACAAAACCCCAGAACAAAAAGCGAAAAAGCTGAAGAGAACTTCTCTTTGTTTGTCTTTGCCGCCTGCTCGTAAATAAATAGGAATATGGATAGGAAAGTCTAAAAATCAAATATTGGAGTGGGAGTGCCAAGCGAAACTTTAAGTTTCTATTCCTTGGGCTGTAGTTGTGCAACCTGATAATCATCTAAGTCTGGGAATCGATGGGTAAACTTTATTATGCACTTAAAGCACTCATAAAAATGTACAAGTTTTTAGGAGAAATTAAATAACAACACGGCTACGTTTTTTTTTCAGGTCGTGTGAGGTTCGACCTTCCCACCTACGAATATGACAACCTCAACGCGCAGCAGTAGCAATACAACAACTAGCAACAACAACCCCAACAACGAGCGCGAGGAACGAACCGGAGCAGCCAACAGCACCACCTACAGCCACCACAGTCCCACAGGTTCGGGATCGGGATCTGGAGCCCCAGGAGCCGCCATCGGATCCACGAGTCGAGTGATGCAGGCGGACGAGGACTTCAACATCCGATTTGTCAACCTGGTGCGCACCCACAAGTGTCTCTACGACAAGAAGGTGCCAGAGTACCGCAACAGGTAAGAGCGATATCAAATGGTCAATGGTCAATGGTTAATGGTTAAGATACACAGATTAACAAATTTCAACTAACAAAATCCTTCAGAGATCAATCCTTAATTTTCAGAGATTAATCCTTAATATTCTTTGGCTCAGAAAATTTCAATACAATTTTTTTTTTAATGGTTCTACTTTTTTCACCTGTTTTCTTGCTTGTTTTATTTTTATCTCCAGTTCTAAGCTTAACCGATTTTGGAATTCGATAGCTTGCTATAAATTTTACTACAAATAAAACGTTTTTCAACTTTTCTATACATGTTATAGGAATAGGTTCCTTATATATGTATGTATTATACATATATGCTAGATCGACAAAGTTTGAAAATGATGGTTAAACTTAAGTTCTGACACCATAAATAAATTTTTAAAAAACACACGCTTAAAACTAAGAGTAATTTTATCGCTTTATCTTAGAGATGGAACATTACGAAGTCAACAAGCTATTAAACTAAAACATTTCTCTGGGAATTCGATTTTATACGGATTTTTAGGACTGAAAAAACGTTGATTATTGGGCTTAATGCCATTTCCAAAACAAAGAAAACAGGGCTTAAAACAAAGCATTCGAAAAAAATCTTTTTTTTTTAACACACCGAAAAACTTTCATAAAATCCATTTACCATTTACCATTTACCATTTACCATTTTAGTTTTTTTGGGTGTGTATTTTTTTTAAGAATTATTTTGTGTGTTTTAGACTACTCATAATTCACATACTTATAAAAATAATATTATATTAGTCAGATTCTTAAGTTTTGTTAAAGTTTTTTGAAAATCAAATCTGGAATTTTTTTTAGTAACACCAGTCAAAGGGAAATTCAAAATTTATTTTATATATTTTATACATATATATATATATATATATATATATATACATATATGTATATTTTATATACATTATCTAAAAATTAAAATTAAATTTTAAATAAATTTTATTTTAAAATAAAATTAATTAAAATTTTTTAAAACATCTCATTTTACCTTTACAGGGATAACCAGGAAAAAGCCTGGGTGCTTATCTCCAAGGAGACACGTGAAAGTGGTCAGTTAAAATTGCATTACATTTCTTCAGTAACCATTTTAACTGAATAAACTGTTCTGTATCTTAGTGATCCACTGCAAGGAGCGATGGCGAAACCTACGCGCCTGCCTGTCGCGCTACATAAAGCAACAGTCCGGATCGGAGCCACAGCACAAGCCCTACTACCTGACTGAGCACATGGCCTTCCTGCTGCCGTTCCTCAAGTCCAGCCGCAACTCGCTGGAGGGCAACAACAGCCTGGCCACGCTGTACCAGATGTCCCAGCAGCACCTGCACCACCATCAGCCGCACCTGCTCCACCCGGCGATCCATGCCCACGAGGAGCACATCTACTGCGCCACATCCAACATCAATGGTAACAGTAACAATAACAACAACAACAACAACAACATCAGTAGCAACGGTGTGAATATGGAGGAGGTGCTGGAGATGAAGTACTCGATATCGGAGAAGGACGATGAGGAGACCATCGACGCCTTCGATCCGGCGGTGACCAACACCCTCGGATCGAAGCGTCTTCCGGCCACGCCCACCCACAGAGAGTCGCCTGCCAGGAGCGAAACGGCCAGTGCGGACAGCATGAAGAACTTCATTCCGGATGTGCAGCTGGCCGAGAGTGGGTCACAACTCCTCTATAATGACAGTGGGCGTGGCACACCGCCGCCCCTGCACTATCATCCCCACACTCATCCGCATCCGCATCCGCATCCCATGGCCTTGGCCATGGATCACCATACGGCGTCCTTTGAACCGGGCACCAAAAGGATTAAGACGGAATGCGAGGCCACCAGCACGATGACAAGTGCTGGTGGAGGCTTCTACGGCGGACTGAGTTCCTCGGAACTGGCGGACATGGAGTTCTTCCGCAGCATCCTTCCCGATCTGGCAGCTTTAACGCCGCAGCAGCGTCGCAAGTTCAAGATCGGCATCCTGGAGCTCATCGACGACGTCGTCACACGCTATCCCGCCCAGGAGCACTGCAACGGAGGAGGAGCAGCGCAGGTGGTGAATGGCAGTGGAGGCAGCAGCAATGGGGCATCGGTGAACCATCAGAGGCGCAGCTCTGGACGAGATTGGCGGAAACAATGAAGGCATCGGAGGGGGAGGAGCGAAAAGTCACTAATCCTTAACTAGAAATAGCATAGGTTTAGTTAGAAGCCTAAGGTGGAACTGAAGCTGGATCGGATGCCACTACTAATCGGTGTCTTAGCCAACTTCAGTCAGCTCACTGTTCATGTGTTGTGTGCGCTCAATCAGATGAGTATGTAAATATATGGGCCTCAAATGGTTTCACACTCACGATTATTGTTGGACTTCGATTTGTACAATTCTTTTCTTTAAAAAATGTTAAAGTTTTCATTTTCAATTGAATTGCCGCGACATTTTTAAAGTCTTTACAAAATAAGTATAAGATCGGAATCGGACTTTTCAGTGAACGTGAAATCATGAATGCCTAGTAAGCCATTAAGCTCTAAATGAATTGTGCCAGAAATTTCCTAAAACTTTAGTTGTATTCATAAATCTGAGCAGAGAAAATTCTTCACAGATTTATGTTATATAAACACTGATTTTTTTTTGAGTTTCTTGTAAGTTTCTTTTAGAGCATAACATTAGCATAACTGTATATATGATGCTGCTTAAGCTTAAACTATAGAATCGATGTACAAAGCTGTTCCCGTTTAAGTCAAACAAAAAAAGAAAGAAAAAATTGCTGTATAAAATAATAAACAAGTGAGTGTATGGAAAATTACACGGTAAACTTTAATTTATAAACTCGACAACTTCAACAGAGGATGCTTCACAGGGGGCCTTGCCCCATATTTTATAGGGAGCGGGTGCACCACACAAGTCTCCTTTGTGAGGGAAATGCACAAGGACACTCCTTGTCCCCGTCTTCGCACTAAAAGCTAAATTTCGTTGGCTGCTATATATTGGAGGCTGGGATCGGATTGGATCGGATCTACAGCTTGGAGGAGCCAGTCTTGGGGTAGAACTTCTTCGCGGGGTCCTTGGCCATGTCCAGCAGCGTCTGGGCGGGCTTGAAGGGGGCTCCGTACAGCTCGGCATAGGACTGCATCTTGCTGACCAGTTTGCCTGCTCCGTACTGATCGACCCAGCGGAAGGGTCCGCCCGAGAATGGCGGGAAACCCAGGCCGAAAACGGCGCCCACATCGCCCTCCAGCGGACTGTCCAAGATCTTCTCCTCCAGACAGAGCACAGCCTCGTTGACGAAGCGCGACACCATACGCAGGGTCAGATCCTCGGGCGTGTTGGCTCCCTTCGACACCAGACCGTACTTCTGCTTGACGATCTCCACGGCATCGTTGTTCACCGGACGTGTTCCCCTCTTCTGGCCATCGTACAGGAAGATGCCCTTGCCGGACTTGCGTCCCAGGAAACCGGCCAGCACCAGATCGTTCATCACCTCCAAATTGCCACCGCTGAAGCGATCGCCGAACGCCTTCGCCAGGTCAACGGCAATGTGGGAGCCCACATCGATGCCAACCTCATCGGCAAGGGTGGCAGCGCCCACGGGGAAACCGAACTTCTTTGTGTACTGGTCCAGATCCTTGGGATCCACGCCTTCCTGCAGCAGTCTAAAAAAGGGATACGTTTTACTTTCGCCTTGTCTTCAAACCGGATGAAATCAACTAGTACCTTATGGCCTCCGACAGCATGGTGGAGAGGATGCGGGTGGTGTAGAAGCCGGGTCCGTCTCCCACGGTGATGACAACCTTGCCTTGCTTCAGACCGACGGCCACGGCCTGGGCGACGGTGTCCTTGGAGGTGCCCGGATGGGTGATGATCTCCAGGAGCTGCATCTTGTCCACGGGCGAGAAGTAGTGCATGCCGACCACCTTGTCAGGACGCGAACTACCCGCAGCGATCTTGGTGATGGGAATGGCGCTGGTGTTGGTGGCAATGACGCAGTGCTCGGGCACAACAGCCTCCAGCTCCTTGATCACGCGGTGCTTGACCTTGATGTCCTCGAACACGGCCTCGATAATGATGTCCGCGTTCTTGAAGTCGCTGTAATCCAGTGTGGGTCGCAGATTGGCCAGCGTCTGATCGCGTTCCAGTCCAGAGATCCGCTTGCGCTTCACGGCCGTCTCCAGACCCTTCTGCACCTGACCAATGCCGCGAGCCAGACCCGCATCGGTGGCATCCTTCATCACCACCTGGTAGCCCTTGTCGACGGAGACCTGAACGATCCCGGCGCCCATCAGGCCGGCTCCCAGCACACCAACAGTCTTAACCGGTCGCTGCGGCTTGCCAAATCGGTTCTTCTTGCACTCGGTTTGGCCACGGAAGAGGGCAATCAGACCCTTGGACTCGGGCGTGGCCGACAGATCGCCGAAGCCCTTGCGCTCCGCCTCGTAACCCGCATCGGCTCCCTTATCCACGCCGGCGCGGATCACATCCAGGATCTGTTTGGAGTTGCAAGTGTTAGCGACACAGGTACACGAATAGTTTGTGCCATAGCTTACCTTCAGGGGTGCGGGATAGAGACCATTGGAGGCCTTCAACACCTGCTTCCTGGCAGTGTCGAAGATCTTGTTCTTAACAAAGTCGGTGTCCATGACGAAGGACTGAATCTTGTTGACCAGACCGCCTTTTTCGCGATTCACCTGTGCGAGAAATGCGTAAATTGTTGTAAGTTTAAAAATTCAATTCAAGTTTTAGTCAGGATTTAAGTTAAATAATTCTTACTGTGTTATTGGACGATGTCCAAAAACGTGTTTTGATTATAATCATAATGGGATTTTTATAACTAATTTATGGGAATACTTTAGGTAAAGCAACAATAAAAGGTAAACCTATCCCAGAATGTAAGTGTAATTGAATCTATGCAAAAAATATGTAGTAAATGTGTGTTATGTCCTTTTCTAACCTTTGAATAACTGTCTATCTTCCATAACTTGTAACTTTACAATAAGATTTATCAGATAGTATTTTAAGACTTTTCTTCGCTACTCAAGCTCATAAATACCATTTGATTTGTTTACAGGTCTTAAGAAAGAATATCTTACGCGAAGTTTGCCACTGGCCAGATCGTTGGCCACCTGCACGGCCGTCTTCTCCAGATACTCGATGGTGTTCTGCTCCGCAGGCTGCAGTCCAGGACCGAGCGGTTCCACCAGCAGATCCACGATGCCCAGCCTTTTGGCGCGATCGGCGCGCACCTGTTTGCCGGTCAACTCCAGATCCAGGGCGGTGGGCACAGAGGTGAGCTTGGGCAGACGGACAGTGCCACCGCCGCCGGGCAGGAGGCCCAGCATGACCTCCGGCAGACCCAGCTTCGTCTTGTTGTCCTTGGTGGCGATGCGGTAGTGGCAGGCCAGGGCCAGTTCCAGTCCGCCGCCCAGACAAACGCCACTGATGGCGGCCACAATGGGCTTCTTGCTGCGCTCCATGCGGTCGAACATCACCTGGGCGCCGTGGGAGATCAGAGTGGCCTCCTCGGCGGTCTGGCAGGCCTCCAGCATCCCGATATCGGCGCCGGCCACAAAGCATCCCGGTTTGCCCGAGATCAGCACGGCCGAACTGACGGCGGGATTCGTCTCCAGGTCCTTGATCACTCGCTCGAACTCGTCGCTCACCTCGCTGCCCAGCGAGTTGACCTTGGCATTGGGCGAGTCTATTTTGATGACCAGCACTCCATTGACCACCTTGGTGTGCAGGTGCTTGTTGGCCACCGGCGCTGGATTGCTGGACATTAGGCGGCGACCCTGGAGCAGATGGGCCGAAACGGGCAGGGCTGCGAGTGGTTGAGAGATCGGTTCACGATTAGTGGTCATTATCTCACGGCCCTCGAAATCGGAAAACAGAAATCAGACAGCGAGAGGGAAGACAGAGACTATATACGTCAAGAGAGAGTACAAAGTGCAAAGTCCAGTTATGCGGCATCGGGGGCGACTTGCCAGAGAGAGAGACAGAAACCGATACCGCTAGACCAGAGCGTCACTCATGGGTTCCATGGGGCCAAATTTGACTCTGGAATTACCCTGGAACTTGTACTTTCCCTTTTCGATCCCTCTCGCTGGAATCCGCATTTTATTTTACCCACCTCTCGTGCACTTATTATGCAGCAATTGCTGTCGCGATATTTGGCCAACGGCACTCAGAAATCTCGTTGCCGACATTGCACAGTCGTAGTTCGATTTGATTAGTGTTTCACTTTGTACCTAATTATCTATTAAACGGTTTAACGAACTTTGCTCTTGCACCGTTAGTTATCTTCGCGATTTGCTATAAAAAACGATGCGGCAATTGTTCAACTTGTTGCATTAGCGGTGGAGAAACATCTACGTCATCGATGTTTGGCAGGGCATTATCGGTGTTGTTCCACCTCTAACGTGTATTGAGTACCCACCACCGATTATGGCCCTATGACATCACATTGTTGGTCTCATTCATTAAAGCTTAGATTATACACGTAAGTATACACGGATTCGGTTAGGAGTTGGATACAAAAAGGCAAAAGACTCTGGCAGAGTTTGCAAAATAGTTTTTAATTCTGAAAGCCATCAAAAATTGCTACTTGCTTTCATACAAAAATTAGCTGTTATAGTGAAGACACTGGCGAAATATAGTTAACTGTCGGTATTTTACGGAATTTGTTACAAAAGTCTTTTTACACAGGCGTTACATAAGAGGTACTAGTGCTAGAATGAAATGGATTAGTAGTAAGCTGTAACATCTGTTGAGATTAATTAATTAATTAATTAATTAATGAATCAGGAAGTTTTGGTCAACACAACATCCATCATAGGCAAACATCAGTTAATAAATCATTAGCTGAGAAACACCTTTGACTGGTTAATGTAAAAATTTGAAAAAGTGTCAAGCGGCAAACTACTTACTTGTTATCTACATATAATAACGAAACTTACATTTGCTTTCTTTTACTGAATTAATACCAAAATCAAGGTGAATTTCTAAAACACACCAAATCATACATCACCCAAACAGATGTCGCTAGAAATGTGTTCTCTAGTGCTCGCTAGGTGGCGCTCTACAGTTCCTGGTCGTAAAAATGCATTGACATACTACAAGTATTTAAATTGTTCAGCATTGCCAAAAGAGTAGATATAGCAGCTATCAGTTGTATAAATCCATTGAAACGAATGGTTCAGGATCGGTTGGCTTAATTTGTCCGATTTAAAAATGTCAATCGTGTTATAATGTTTTTATCTTTTCTGGGCTGTATTTTTGCACTTAACTTCCTTTTTCCCATGCAGTAATAAATAATGGTATAATTGTCTACTTTGAAAAACTCACTTACTCTTTAAATGCAAATATGGTTATTTATTAAGTCTATTTTAGTTACAAACTCAATAAAATTTCATTTTTCAATAGATTCCCAATGAAACTTATAGTTGATTTTGTCAAAATCACGAGGCCGAATTTTCGATTCACTGTCATTGTTTGCGGGAATTTGTCACGCTGACCCACCCGTTCGAGGTTGCACTATTAAAAGACCGCACAATTTGCGGGACACGCATGTCACTGGTATTTTTCAGGTCGCTTCCTCGGATCGAGGACCTGGACTCATTGAAGCCGCATTAAGCGCGCCTCATTGGCTGCGATACCATTGTCCTTTCAAGTGGCCACTCCTAAATAGGTTCGGATGAGATTTCGCCACATTGCCATGCGCATTATTGTGACAACACGCCTTTGTGGCCTTTGACGCTGCCGTTTTATGTGGCATGTACGAGTATTATAAAATAAATAGTTAATCGTTTTTCCCCGAAGCTGCAGCTGCGGTTTTGATTTTTCCGCTGATCCGACTGTGATGTGTGAAGAGTCAAAAAAGTCACACTCGAGTTCGTCGGCGTCTGGTCTGTCAACTGCAAAAGTCTATCAGTCAAATGCTGGTAGACGGCTGACTGAAGGACTGACCTGACCTTTTTCAACTAGGGGTCTTATTAAACAAATATAAGGCCAGACTTACATGATATAAGTTCAATTAGAAAATATATAAAAATAATCTAGACGCCTCTTTTGTATTTTGACGTGTCTTAACATTTATTACCAACATATTAACATCTCATAATAGTTAATGTCAAATTCACCTTACACTTTGTTCATTGCAAAAAGTCTGGAAGGAAATTGCCATTGAAATAGCTTAAATGCTTTGATTTATTTTAAAGTATACAAGAATTTAAGAACTAGCTCAATGTAATATAAACTATCGTTTCTTAAATAACATATTTATAACAAACATATTTCCATTCATATATTAGTTAATATATTAATAGCATAAATGCTTTTATTTGCCTAATGTTAGTTTCTCAATACCAACTCACTTTACAATTCTAAAGGGATATAATATTCTTCATCTAACCCTAAATTGAGTTCTCTAACAGCTTCATTTGTGTGCGAAAATCTGCATTAACAAATTGGCACCGAATCGGATTTGCATTTGAAATTAATTTTCGAAATTGCGAACGAGAATTGGCGAAACCTCAGCCTATGAGGACTTAGGCAAAGATTCGCGCATTAATTCACGCGAATATTGAATTACACTCGCAACAATGGGATCAGCAGCAGCAGCAGTAAATTTGCATAATACCTTTGTGATCTCAGTTTCGTCCCCTCTTTCGTCAGCACCCAAGGATAACAAAAAATGAGCATCAGAGTCAGCGACTCCAAAGGGTTCTCATTTGCATGCGAGGGTTTGGGCCAAGGGCTAATCAAACAGCAAGGACAAATGTTGTTGCAGCACGAAGGAGGCTGGCTCGACAGGAAGCACACGGTCGGTTGTGATTTATGGCTGGAAATTAACATAAATGAAATCAAAACATTTTTAAATGTTTTCATTTAGGCAAGGGACCGACGCAGCCGCACTCGAATTATATATGCAAATATCGTTTGAAACAAAGTCATTCCTCATTTCTCTTGCAGCTCGGCGAGTGTGCGAATATCCTTGAAGGTCGCACGCGTCAGCGGCACACTTCCCATGCGACATGACAACTAATGGGCGTTTTGTTTATGGTCGATCTCAAACCCCCATTAGGGTCGAGTACTTCTTGCCAGTACCTGCCTACAACCCCTTCCCTTCAAGCGACCTTTTTTATATTTTTAATTATTTATAATCGGTTTAAAAAAAAAAAAAAACACATACAATATCCAAGTATTTGAGTGGTCCTTGACAGGAGGTAAGCCCTTAATTTGATTGCCGCTTAAAAGGTTTTTTTTAAATTTTTACTTTACAGACGGTTCGTTTAGGAATTGAAGGTTTCATTTTAATTCAACTTATGTGAAAGAAAAACAAGAAATGGATGTAATTAATACATTTTACTTTTTTAAAAATTACGATGGGAAAATACAAATTGTTTACACACAACTCATTGAAAAATAGACTTACAAAATTACAAAGTACAATACACGTGGAACTATCTTCGCAGTTCAAACATGTCTAAATTGACTAGTACTTTAAATCTATACGAATCTAAAATCAATAATTCGTCAATGGTCATGTTTCTTATCGGTATTTTCCCAATTTGGATTCTTGCCGTCCGGGTCCTCCTGATGCAGATTGTGGACACTCCTTACGGAACACTTCTACATAATTTTGGAAGTACAAGCGTTTGACTAGTACTTTTTATGAATAATTTATCAATGGTCTTGATCCTTTTCGTTATCGTCCCGATTTACATTTTTGGTATCGGGCTCTTTCTCTGGCGGATTTTCGTCATTTACATTGGCTTGCTGAACTTGCTGAACTTCCTCAGGCAGATTTTGGTAATTTTCATTGGTTTGCTGAACTTGCTGAACTTGCTGAACTTCCTGAGGCAGATTTTGATCATGGGAAACTTCAACGACGTATGGAGAATCCCCACTCGACAATACATTTCTCACTAATTGAAGTTTGTTAGTACAGACACTTTTTTAAGTTCGGAAATTATGAGATTATGACTTACAGCGCTCCAGACCATTTAGATACCGTGAGTGATCTGGCACAAGGGAGAGTATACACAAATTAACCATAAGTGCCAAATCTGCCATATCATTTTGTCCCAAAAGTGAAAGTTCCGAGAACGACGGGTCTGTCCCGAACGGAAGATTGAGTTCTAATGAGAAATCTTCGGTCTGCGTTGGAGCACGGGATTCACGAGCACGAGAACGAGCACGGGCACGGTTCCTACGTCGACGATTCCTGTTTCGCGTATTTTCCTGCTGTCCGATTTCCCTATTGGAATTCAAGACAGGTTCCACCAGTGCCCTGGCCCGGTTCCTCCTCCTTCGCCTGTTCCTTTGGGTGGCACTCTCGCGAGGCTTTTCAAAAACGAAAGGCATTCTGATCGGCTCAAACATCACTTCATAACCACAACTCACCCTTGTGACTGGGGTCCCTGCAAATCTCGGCGATCCCTTAACTTGTTTAGCTGGACCTCTGCCCATCTTGAAAAACTTTGTGTTCACAAAAATAAATTTTAGTTAATTTTTCCGATTTTTGGGAACAACTATAGGTGTTTTCTCTGACCCCAGAAAAAGTATACTAGCCCATATGGGTTCACCCAGCTGACACAAAGCCAAAAAAGGTTGCTACGATGGAGGTTTTTTCAAAAAATGTTTATTACTACACAAAAGTTCATAAATAGGTGGGAAATGTGGCTTTAAACTCTATACGCTTACACTCTAAGGACATAATTCGTATTCTTACAGCTCTAAAACTTTGGAATAGCTGGGAAACAAGTACAATAGTACAAACTAGAAACGTTCAATACAATATCTCATACACAATAAAGGGACCAACAAGCAATGGGAACACGAATGGGAATCAACTAGGGACTAGAACAACGCTTGAGTGGCTCAGTAATAGTGGTTGCAGTGCGAGATCCAAGGGGCAGCGGCAGCGGCAGCTCATCCCCCACCCGATCCCCTAGCAGTAGACAGGATCCGAGCTGTTAGCCGGGTGCTGGAATGTCGCGTCCATTTGGATGTTCCATCCGTTGTCCACGCCCGTGTTGCTGTAGTAGTAGTCGGCCGACTGCAGCTGATCCTGCGGCTCCTGCTGCTGATAGCTGGCGAGGGGCAGGAATCCAGCCTGCTGGTGATGGTGCTGGTAGGCACTTGCCTCCTCATAGAGCAGATCCCCCCCACCATTCAAAGTGGACTCGAACACACTGAAGATCTCGGAGCTGGTTGTGTAGAAACCGCCATCCTGGCTGCTTGGATTCTGGCCCTGACTGCCGCTGCTCACGTCCAGCGAGTTGGGCAGATATCCGTTGAAGTAGCCGTAGTCCTCGGAGCTGTAGCCCGAGCTGCTGGTCAAACTGGAGGTGTCGTCGCAGCTCTCGTACATGGGCATTCCACTGGGGAAGCTGGCGGGGATCGAGGGCTGATCGCTGAAGTTGCCAGCTGGCACATGTTGCTGCGGGGAGAGTTGCTGTTGCTGCTGTTGCTGTTGCTGCTGCTGTAGTTGCTGCGGAAGATTCTCGTGGTAATAACTGCCCGTGGAACTGTGTGCGGAGAGGGGCGAGTGCAGCATGTCGTAGGCGTACATTCCCGTGGCATAGGACGCACCCTCCGGCTCATAGTATATCTCTCCGTTCCACTGACTACTGGCCACCGATCCATGGCCATAGGATGCCTGTGCTTGTGCCTGTGCCTGTGCCTGGCCAAAGCCTGTGCTGTGCGTGGGCGTGGATGTGGCCAGATAGCCGGCTGTGCCCAGTACATCCTGACTGGCCGGAAGCACCGCTGGCTGGTCAACCATTCTTCTGCGCTTGCCCTCCTGGAGCAACTGCGTCTTGGCCTGTCGTTTGGTGGGTCTAAGGCTACTCAGCTTGTCGCTGAGCGCTGATTCCCTGGCCAACATTACGGCCAAGCTGCGCACACGTCGTCCTCCGGCCAGCAGACGCCTTGCCTCCGTGGATCCTTTGGCCTCGGGTCTGGGATGGTCGTGGGTTCCCTTGGCCTGGAAGTAGATGCCGTTGCCGTCCCTTCGCCAAAAGTGGGTAACTGGATAGCCGCAGTGACCGCGACAGGCCTGGATCTCCAAGCGACCATTGCAATTTCTGTGGAACAAACAAAAGGCAATAGTTAGTTTTCGGTGTTCCATGTACTTTTGTACTTGAGGAAACCCACCTATTGGGACACTGTTTGCCCTGCTGCTTCCGGCGGGCCTTGTCACAAATCGCTGGTCTCAGATGCACACTGGCTCCATTGGGCAGCTTGCACCTGGCACTGCAGAGCAGCACGCCCAGACAGCTCTTCTTCAGGATGTTCACATTGTGGTTGTTGGTGTTGCGCATGGCCCAGCCGCTGGCATGCTTCCGGGCCTCGTCGCTCTGTCCGGAGTAGATGAGCCGGCAGTGGCCGTTGGCCCAGTCACTGAACTCGTCGAACTCCCCCACCGACGGCATCTTGGAGTCGTTGATGTCCCAGTCGATGGCCACACATGACTTGGTGGCCGGAGGACTGGGCACGGGCATGGGCACTGCCACTGGCACTGGCATATTGATGGGCATGCCGTTTAAGACCATTTTTGATGGGTTTGTAATAGATATAATAGATAATTCACACGAGGTCACTTTCAGTTTGGTTTCTTTCTTCCTACTTGTATAGTTATTTCCTATATAGTTTTTCCTGTATATTTTTTTTTTTTTTTTACTTTTCTGTGAAGCGGACGCGTCCGTTCGCATCGACTGCGCAAGGCTGACTAACTGGGCCCGCTCTGCGCAGCGCAGTTAAGTTGCCGCCGGTCGAAGCGCACGAGGGTTGCTCGAGTCGAAGGCGGCCTGCCATTGGTCCGCCGACTTCCAGTTCTGCTGCCTTTGTGTGCGCTTTATCCGCCTTATCCGACACTCGAGTTGGGCAGCGAGGAGAGTTCTCGAGCAGGTTTGATTGGTAGTACCAGCAGCTGGAGATGGAGAATGGAATAGGGAACTGGGAACTGGTAACTGGCAACTGGGAGCTGGAAACTGAGAGCAGGGAGCTGAGAACTGGGAACTGGGAGCTGGGTGCTTGGCATTTGGTTAGAGAAACGAGTGCTGTGCTGCTCTAGCACCTGCGGTTGCAGCACGCGCTCCACTGGGTAATTGTACGATATAAAACCAGGGGTTTGAGGCACTCGCTGGCAAGGAACCCAGGTCCCCCCAACCCCCCCTCTCAATCCCAGTCAAAGCTAATTAAGTTCAGAAAAAAAAAGTTTACATCAGTTGGATGGGGATGTGGATGGGGATGGGGATGACATGAGTTCTGATGGGTACACCTGGCCACAGTTGCTGGCAGATGGGCCTATTTACTCTGCAACCAGAGTTACCTTTCCGAACGGGGAAATGGGGAACAAAGTGAAATGGTTGGAGGGCAAACAAGAGCTCGAAACAAAATGGAGTTGGTTTGAACCAAAAAACTTTTACGGTTTCCAAATGAAAGACAAACTTTATAAAAATTAAGAAGGTCTTAAACATGCTTAAAGAGTTCAGAAAGCAAATAAACATTGACTTGCTTGTAAAATTTTAGAACGCATTTAAATTCATGTGTTAAAATCAATCATTTTATTTGATTGGACATAAAGTGTTTTTTTCATTTCAAATAAAACTATTTGTAGCCTATCCCGTAAAAATCTCATATGAAGCCAATTGATAATGTTTATAAAAGCAAAATGCAATTAACATTTGAATAAACTTTGAAATACAAAAAGTTTATTCTGAAAAAAAAAATGAATTTAAGTTTCAAACATGCAAGCAACAATCAAAATTTTAAAAACTAATATTTTCTCCTGTTTAAAAAAAAATGCATAGTACCATTCTGTACCATACCACACCATTCTGGTGTGTTTTGTTTCTACACAATCATTTCGTTTGGCTAACTACAACTAATTTTTAAAAATATCTTATTGTCAGTATAGTTGAAGTTCAGCTGGAAAAACCATTTCTTGCCACATAAGTTTAAATTATTAAGTATTATTTTAAATATTAAGCTATTGCGAAATTTATTAGATATTGTAACATTCTCATGGGGCAACATATATATAACTAACGGAACTACTTCTCACGATCTCGAAAGTGATAAAAAATTAAACGTTTGCAAAAAAGAAACCGAAATGTCGAGATAGCGATATCGCCAAGCTGAGATCAGGGGAACCGTACCGTAGATCGTAAAACACAATTTAGCACGCAAAAAACGGAAACCTTAAAGAAGAAATCCCGTAAAGGAAAACCAACCCTTAGAAACCCAGAAACAAATGTCATAACTCAGGCATATGAATGAAGCAAAGTTGGCAAACAAATTCTTTTTGGCCCCTCGGCGATCTCAAGTCAGAGATAAAGGAAACAAACATAATCATTAAGATGCCGAAAGGGTGAGAGGAAACTCCATAATTTTCACACTTCCACGTCGGCCCAAAAGCCATGCAATTATGACACGAACTGAGCGAGCAACCCGCGGCGCCTTTCTGCCAAGGAGTCGCCCAAAGATCAGGATCGTAGCACGCGATAGGAACTCAAAGGATTACGGTGGACAATGGCAATGGCAAAGGGTGCGCTGTCGAAGGATCGAGGGGCGTTGACACGGAAGAAAGTCATGACGTTGCATATTATGAGGCTGACGGGACAGGACATCCTATCCTACCTGGTCCCAGATTTCCGACCTCCGGGTGGGTGTGGCCCCTTAATGATGCCCGAAATTAACTGTTCCGTTTCAATTGCGAGCGATCACTTTGCAATCAAATTTATTTGACACTCTCTCCACGGGTGACAGTCGAAAGCCGAACTCTTTTCTTTTCCCATCAAAAGTCGGTCCAATTGCGGCTATAAAATTTAACCAAAAATTACGCATAAATGTCATCGTAAATTCCGCATCTACCCTATCCGTCTGCGGTGTCGTGGGAAGTTACGCCCCTGGCAGACAGATAGCATGGCTGGAGTAGTTGGCTCTGGTCTGAAGGGATTTGGCCATGGATTACAGCGATTGCCAAACATATGGCCACCGACATTCCCAGTATGTGAGTGCTCAAGAGACTTCTTGACAGGGTAAACTTTACAACTTGCCTTTCTTTTGACCCACTGGATCAAAATGTCAATAGACAATTTTAATGATTTCTTATAATTTAATGAACAATCTTTTAAAAGCTGCAAACAGATAATTTTTTACAATAGAGAATTGGTTATGGTTTTGCTCGAAAGGTCTACAACCCTGACTGTAGATTTTTCTTACATCACCTATAGGAGAAGCAGACAAATTGTAATAAAATCATTTTGTCAGAGTGCTTATATTTTGGCATTAATATTTTGAAATATATTCTTATAATAATAATAACAAACAATTCTGTTTCAAACAATTCTAGTGAGGTGTAACAAGACCGTTACTATGCTGCCATTTGATTCGCAATGTATTACGCTAAATTAACTGATTTTGTAAATTATATTTTAAAAACCCCTATGAAGATTTTTATAATATTCCCTGTTAACAAAATAGTAAATTTAATATTGCATATAAATATCAGAGAAGTGTATACATTTCATAGTAGATGTTTACTGTCATTAATGCAAGTCTAAGCATCGAATAAGTGGTTGTTGAATGTTGAATTATTATAATATTTCCAGTAGCTTAAGGGAAACTTACGAATACCCGCCATAAAGACTGGTAGTCTTCGATCTGTCAGATCATTACGCCACTTTATTTCAGTACAACCCCTCTTTCGCCGAAAGCAGAGAAAGTTTTCCGCTTTCCTTTCCTCGTCCGGAAGCTTATCAACGATGGCGCATCTGGGTCTCGCAGTCGAACAACAATTCGCAGCTAATTCAGTGGAACTTCCCTTAGGAAAGTTAGACGATAGGAAAAGTCAACTCTGCCGCAATTAAAACCGCACATAGGAAATCATTCAATTGGCAACTAACGACGGGAAAATCCTAATTCCAGATCCCAGAGATCCGATAAGGCGGCCAATGAGCCAACTTAGAACAACCCTGGGCGAGTACAAGTCCCAGGATCGGATCATGGCAATGTTAAATGGTAAATGGTAAATGATTTAAAGCAAGTCTCATAATTTCTCATTGTTCAACTGGCATTTCCACAAACTGATAAATGAAACTGAAAACATAAACGACAACAACATCGGCGATGGGCGATCGAGTCAATGCGATAATACCTTTCACACTCTGCATGGGGCCCATGGAAACAGGGGAGATCGCAGGCCCTCGATAGCGGACATCGGACAGCGGACAGTGGGCCTGGAAATTGGAAAATGGAAAATTGAAATGTAAAGGCGGCTCAAAACACTCATTGAAATTCGGGACTAAATGCTCGGACAAGTGATCTGCCGATCGCCGGCTAAGTAGCTTGGCACACTAATCTGTCCAAACAAACCGAGGTCGGTTCAAATGAGTTGAGTTGAGTTGAGGTCAGGTGTGTGGATTCTGTTAATGGTATTATATGTAGAAAATATTTATTTTCACACTGCTCCATTGTCTCTGGCTCATTGTCCACTATTTCATTGCATATGAAAAGGATTACAAGCCAAAAATATTTTCATATTTTCCCACGTTTATTTTTTTTGGGATTCTTGCATGAATTTCGCCCAAATTCTTTCTCGTGCATATTATTTGCATTTGTTTTGTGTTTGTGGAAATTAAGGCATTGGATTACATGAAATTTACAAGCATTCTCCCACAATCCATCGAGAGATGATGCCCGCATTACTGCAAATTCCACAAGCCCCCGAATTGTTTTGATTGTTTAGAGGCGCGTGGCATTCGGCGGTGTTCTACAAAAACTATTTCCCAGAATCCAGGACGAATAGATTTCGAATGTGCAATCAAAGTCCCAATAAATTGTGGCCAAGAAAAGAGAACGCTCCCGTAAAAAAATAGAAGATTTTTCACACTTGCCCGAGGCGACAAAGCGATTCGCGCTACGCAATAAAATCTAATTAGTAAACTCACTCTGTCTGTGGAATAAAAAAAAAACGCAAAGCCGAAACTGTAAACTGTAAAATTTTCAGGTACTTCAGTTAAAAAATAACACGATAATTCGACATGGCGACGACACTTCAGGCCAAACAAAGATGCCCAGACAAAGGACACACGTACATGGGGACATAGAGAAAGGACCAAGGGACAAGGACACCCCTCTTCACATACAGAAAAAAAACAACCACCCGATCCTCTGGCCAGGGAAGCCTCGAAGATCTAACGCTGCTTACTCAAGCGCAAAAGCGTAACTTGGGAAAACAATCGAGAAGCAGTTGAGTTGAAAAATTTTAACAATTTTAAAAAATCAAATGGCAGATAAAGTGGCAAGTTCCTGTTGGCAGGACTCGCTGGTCGTACGCCGCGTGTCGAATGCTGTCAATATTTCCGGTGTGTCTAATGACAAACGCATGTTTACACGAGTGCGAACACATCCGGACTCACTCCTTTCCTTTTTTTTTTATTTTTTATTCGCGACTGATTGCGGAGGCCGGGCATCCAGGAGTATTTCACGGACATCAGGGAACCGTGATTCGCGCAGCCAGACGGCAATTACGTGGACTTACTCAAGCGTTTGCCTCTATTCGATGCGGCAATTTATAAATGATGGGCGCGATCTGTCGATGGGGTTGATGATGGACGATCCTGTGGTGCAGTAAAGTCCCTAAATGAATTTATCGAGTAGTTTAGAGGAGCCAACGACCTGAGCCATTACATCCATTTAGTAGTGCAGTGCAGTGCCATTGCCCAAAAAGTTTATTCAACTGAATTTGAATGTCAATTAGCTTAAATAGCTAGTTGTGACTTGCAACGAGCGTCGGCTATTAACACGCACAGCCACAGCCAAAGCAATCCACCAATTAAGGGGCAGTCAGGAGATCTGTAACATCAGAATCACCATCAGCAGCATTAGAAAGCGAGTGCATTCACCTCGCAATCGCCAAAGATCTTATATTCGGGGGTAGAGCTAAATGCTGAGCCAGCTCAATAGCGTTTGATTTGCATGGGTATGCGCGGCAGTATCTGTAAGATACACTCAGAAAAAAAGACAATTTTAAATGTAGCGAATACGTGTTTTTTGCCTTATAGAACCTTAATACCATTTGATCTTCTTTTCAGAACTTAAAATATCAGTTTAAGAACGGAATTTCAGTACCCTTTTTTCAAAATCTAAGAACAGAACAGTTTGAAACAAACGGTAATAGATTAGTAACATTTTTTAATTATTTTAACCACCATTAAGAAAGATGTTTATTCCGCTTAAACAAATTTTACTGAAGAAAGTAACAATGTTAACAATAGAAAATTCTTAAGTGTTATTTACTTATATACTAATGGTCCTTATTTAGAATATTCCTAAAAAAAAAGAAACCAATCTGTAATGAAGTATGTATTTCGGTCTTAACTTTTTTTTTGTGTGCATATAGTCGAACTGATGCCCGACATCCGCTGCTCCATAAACTCCGTCGCACTCAATTTAATTTAATCAAATGCTCGTCTGCCGAGGGTTCGACTCTATAACTATTTTCGGGGTGCCATTGCCATTGGATCGCTCTTGTAATTATTAATAATATTTTCGGCCGATGTGTTGTGTGCACATAAAACGCAGTCATAAACAAAATGGCTGCAAAGTTGTTTATTCATATCGGGCACATAACTTCAATTAATCTCAATTAAGTGGCAAATATTCCGAACTCATATCCGAGGAGGCTTTAGTTTTAGGGTTCACTTAGCCCTTTTCGAGTTTGTTTATTGCGATTGGGGGTAGAGCCCCTGCCACCGAAACCAATTGAGGGTTTGCCCTAGGCCTTGGGCACATCAATTCCTATTGTAAAACTTGAAAACTTGAGTAGGAGGAGTTCTTTGCCTGCCAGTTTATTGGCATGTTAGGGCTATAAAAAACATTGTTAATTCTTTGGAGTAAGAGGCTTTCATTTAGCGGGAATAATTGCCAAAGAATTATTAAGTGGTAAGCTAGTTTTTAAAGTTTTCCATACTTTGTAGTATGTAGTTATGTGGTAAGGAATAATTCAATACCGTTCCTAAAATACTAGTGAGAAAAAGGCTTTTAGCGCATTAGATTTGTCAAAACTTTATAAATTTTCTCTGCACTAAATTAAATTGTTTAAATATTTTGTTAAGTTTTCAAATGTGTTTATTATTAATGCACAACATGCATGTTTATTAAATAAAAAATCTTTCTGGCTTGGTGTTCAAATGTCTTTATTTAAAATGAAAAACTTTAATATTTATTAAATTTAATAATCTCTTTGTTTTGGTACTTAAATGTATTTATTTTAAATGAACAAACGTTTATATTTATAATTCTTATTACAACTTCAAATTGTATAATTACATTGTTATTAAATGATTTAAACTTCTTTATTGGATCACTTCAATAATTAGAAATTAGAGCCTATTTACCAAACAATCGCTGAGCAATGGTGTGAAACGGAGCTCGCAGGGAAGAAGGTTGGAAGCCAAAACCCCTTTTCTTTAGGGTCTCGAGCGCTTCTTAACCCTCGTCTGGCGCAAATAAGACGTCACTCTCATTACAATGCCACAAAGGTTTTGGAGAGGATCACAACCCTACGAGCAATACTCCACTCCGATCCTGCGAGTCCTTCAGGGCTTTTTGTTATTTGTTTCACATTCGGGACATTTGCTCACTTGAGCGAGTCCGGCGATCTCTCCGAACTTTTCCTTCTCCTTTTCCCCCGCCGGATTGATTACGGAAATATGTTCCTGCTGCAGTCGGCGATTAGAGGCCGCAAGATGTTAATGCCAAACTGAACCGAACCCTTGGCCTGCACTTTTGTGCTCAAATTATCGCATTATGCTCGTATGCTCGTATGCTCGAGAGTATGCAAAGCATTACCCGATATTGGTCTATTGTTCCGTTATCAGTTATGCAAAATGCCGGAGACCTTGCCCCTTTGTCCTGCCCCTCGCCTTTGTCGGATTGCGATAATTTCCATCTTTAAATATTCATTACAAGACGGCCACGTCTGGGTTTCCCTATCCCTATCGCTTTGATTGATTACTCAAGTGGTTTATTATCGTGTGTGCGGCAATTGTTGCTTTCCTTGAATTTCCTTCGTTCCTTTGTTCTGCGGATTGTGAATGGGACTTGGATTGGAGTTGGATTTGGAATTGCCCATGGACTCAGCAAGGGGCGTGGCGCAAAAGAAACCCACAAGGAGGCCTGCATTTGTTGGTCACTTGAGAGTTGCGACTGTTTCCATTCAGTTGTCATCTAATAGCTGAGCCAGTTACTATTGAAATATGTGCGAATTTGCATGGCTGAGCATGGCTGGTTTTTCTAGTACTTTTGCGAGGCAGCTGCAGGAAAATTTCGCAAATGCGGAATTAATGAAATCGATATTGTAATTTCCCTTTTGGGGGTGCGACTCGAGACCTCCAAGGGCGTGACCTCAGCTAAGTAGCTGGAAAGGTTATTACAGAAAATTTTGTAAGAAATAAACTATATTGGAGTTTAGCTCTCTCCTTTTAGACAACTATTTAAAGTCAATCATGTCCAAAGTGTTTGAAAGTTTTATGGGAATTTTTAAAATTCAAAAAACATATTAATTAAATAATGGCAGTGATCGGTGGTAGTATATTTAAAAGGCACTTCATTTGTAAATTGTTTTGTAAAATTTGAAAATTTGAATAGGAGGAGTTCTTTGCCTGCCAATTTTTTGGAGTAAAGTGCTTTCACTTAACGCAAATAATTGCCAACGAATTATTCAGTGGTAAACTATTTCTTAAAGTTTGCCATATTTACTTAAAAATACTGCTTAAAAATAGCTAGCAAATTCAACAAATTTCAACTAATTGTGAATTGTTAATAGCTTAGGCAATCATTGCTTCAAGTTTGACAATTACAAGTAAATAAAAAGACTTAGAAATAGCCCCACAAAATTATAAATGTAAGAATCCAATAGATTTGGGAATAAAAAGATGGCATAGATTGTGCTCCAAAAAACATATATTTTACCATATAACTGATTTTGTTTGAGATATGAGAGATGGGAACTTGATCGATCTGATCTGGTATTTGATAGATTTCTCCACTTAACCCCACAACAACAACATCTGCCGGCGATGCGTGAGAAATTTTTGCATGTCTGAGCTGGCCGGCGACGTCATCAAGCCACAGGAAGCTGCAGCAGCCTGCCACAAAGCGTACACAAAGAGCCCTCAAGTGGCACAGTTTGAGCTTCCACGACGACGATGATGACGATGATGACGGTGATGATGATGATGATGATGACGACGATGTCTGTCAAGAGGCCACTCATATATTTGCAACAACTGGAGTGGCTTCGTCCAGGTCCAACTGGGATGGGCAGGGTGGTTTCCTCCGATCCTCCGATCCTCCCGTGGTGCTGCGGTGTGCACATGCGCACTCAAGTGCCCGGAATATTGAGCTCGACTCCTCAGGAGCGGTAGCAGATTGTCGCAAATCCGTTTTGGGGAGCGCAAATTGTTTCAATTTCGAGTTGCGCTACTCGGCGATGTGTGAAAATTGTTTTTTTTTTTTCGCCGTTGGGAGTTGTCATCCTCCAATAGGGAATATTAATATTCATTGTTGCTTGAATTTGAAGATCATCTACTTCCTGGCACAATTAAAAGCAGTCGCAATTAAGGGAATTCATTTCAAAAAGGTCATTGTGGGATTTCCTTCGCCACCATCATGTTCAGTTTTCAATCCGGCTGAAAAGGAGAACTTGGAGTGTCCCAGAGTTCGAGTAATTACCACTCGGCTTGTGTCAATCAAGAGAACTGCCATATCGTGGGTAGTTTTAATTGAATATTACAAGAGGGATGTGCATTAATAAGGAAATCAATTTAAATCTCAGTCGCTGCCATGAGAAAAACTAAACTGGAAACTCTAAAAAATCTGCGGGCGTAGGATCCGATCCACGATCCACGGACCAAACGGTGGTGCAAATCAGGGTGATGTGTCTAACGGCTGCCAAAGCCGAACCCAAACCCAAACTCAAACTCAAACCCAAAACCAAATCTCTCAATGAAGCAATAAGTTTTAATTGAATTGGAGTTTAGTAATTAAAGTACAAGGTCATGAGTTTGAATTGCCAGATTGAGAGAGAACAAACATTGTATATGACACTTGGTCTAATCTTGTGTTTATTTTGGTAAGAAACTAAGGTTAATCTTGACCTTAACTAATCGATCAAGTTATCTCTAAGTGGTTTTTGAGATAGTCCTACCCGAAGAAGTAGAAACCGTGCGAAACCTGCAGTCACGGTTCCGCTGAAATACTCGTAACATGCGGGTGCGCACCACCGAAACGGGGAAAACTAATAAAATTGTTGCGAAAACATAAGCGGACTCTGAGAACCGCGCAAGATTCCCAGCCATTCCCACAGGGAAGTTTTCTTTGGTATGATCGAGATAGATATATTTGTAAATTTTATAATTTATTGATCTAATATTTTTAGAAAATGGCTAGTCTACTTAAGTTTCTAGGCACTTTTCTTCTGATTACAATAGGTTTCACCACAGCTGAGATTTTCATTGATGGCGATCCTGTGGTAGAGCTCTCCTTGGGTAAAATACAAGGAGGTTCGGTGAAGAGCTTTCAGGGCAAGACTATCTACGCCTTTAGAGGAATACGCTATGCCCAATCTCCGGTGGGTCAGCTAAGGTTTACCAATCCCATTCCGGAAACTGGCTGGGGTGATGAGGTGCTCAAGGCCACATCCGATTCCCTGGTGTGCCCACAACCAGGAATCACCTTGTTTATGAGTGAGGATTGCCTAAAACTTAACGTTTTCACAAAGAACTTTGAGGAGAAGCTGCCAGTGATCGTTTACATTCACGGAGGAGCCAATGTGCTGGGCAGTGGCAACAGCATATACGAAGCAGGTCCTCAGTATTTACTAGATCACGATGTGGTTTTCGTGGCCTTCAACTATCGCCTTGGAGCCCTGGGATTTCTCAGCACCAACAGCAGCGAGACGAGGGGTAACTTTGGCTATCTGGACCAAGTGATGGCTCTGCAATGGGTCCGCGATCACATATCTCACTTTGGTGGCGACCCAGAGATGGTGACTATTCTGGGAATGAGTGCGGGCTCAATGGCAGTCAGTCTGCACCTGGCCTCGTCCCTGTCTGCAGGTCTCTTCCATCGGGCCATCCTCATGAGCGGTTCAGCCACCAATCACTTTCATATAGATAACCTCTTTTGGACACGGAAACTAGCCCGTGAGTTGGGATGCCCCATGTACGATGCCACGGATGTGGTGCAGTGCCTCCGAAATGAGACCTGGCCACGCATTGTGGAAATCTGCAAGGCATGGGAGACCTATCAGTTTGTCAACATGAAGTGGAACTACGAGATCGATGGCCACTTTCTGCCCAGGCATCCCACGGAACTAATCGAGGAGGGAAACTTCAACAAGGTTCCCTTACTGATCAGTTACACGCTCAACGAACTGGACTACACGCCCAATGGTGAGGTGAGGGGAACTTATGATTGAATATATTTTGTATCTAATGGCATTTCCTTACTCAGTTCACTTGGCAAACGAGCATTTGCTCCATGATCTAGGCTCCAACTTTGTCGAGTATGCTCCGGAGTTGTTTCTCTACAACGGAAATGCAATAATTGGTCAACAACTCAAGGACTTTTACCTGGGTAGTAACACTACGGATATTAACTCTGAAAACATTGAGCAATTTGGACGAATCTTCTCCGATGGAATCATTGGCCATGGTGTCCACCGTCTTGTCCGCCTGGCCAGCCACTTCACTCCAGTTTATTACATGCTCACGGATTACGTGGGTGAGCGAAGTGTCTCAGCTCCCTTGAATGAGGAAAGTAAGCCCCTGGGAGTTGGTCATGCCGATGATCTTCAGTATGTGATGCCAGGTCTCTGGTATGGCACCATTATGGCTGAAAATCACACGGATGTTTTCATGATGGAGCGGTTAACCAGCTGGTTTACACACTTTGCCAAAACGGGGTAAGTTCATTTGAGTATAAAGTGTTTGTATTTTTAAAACTATGTAAGTCTATGTAAATTTAAGTTAAAAACAAGAAGAGAAGCTGGCAAGGCAATGATTAAATACCCTTGCAGCTATTATAAAATTTAAAAATCTATAAATCGACTATATTTTCATTTTTTGCCTATACGCAATGAAGATTTGTCGATTTTTAATGGCAGCAATATGATATCGTTGTCCGATTTTAATAAAATGAAAGCCGTAAATCGGTAAAATTGGACCCTATTCGTCTAACTAACAATTAGCGGAGTCATATTTTTTTTTAAATGATATAGTCGTCTGACTACTACTACTACCTTTAATAGAAAAAAGACTATTGGAAAAGTTTCAATAATATATGTTTATAACTTAGGGACTAGCTTGCGTAGAATCAATCGGACGGACAGACAAACAGACAGACTAACGGACAGACAAACGGACAAATAGAAGGACAGCCGAACGGGCAAACGGACAAGTCAAGATTAACTTCCCTAATGATGCTGATCAAAAATATTTATACTTAGTAGTGTTAAAAAATATATCTTTCACTACGTTGCAATCTTCTGACTGAATTTATAAAACCCCCTGCAAGCGTATTAAAACATATGGTTTTTATGGTAAACAATAAAATCGATTATATGCTTGCGTCTTTGCAGAACACCCCTAAACATCACCGATATCTGGCCGCCGTGCAACGCGACGCACTTGAAGATGCTCTACAACGGGGTGGTGACCCAGGTGGGTTCTCTGGCCAACTCCGATCGATATGCCCTTTGGGAGGAACTGTTTCCCACGCCGGCCCGAGGTGGAGGCGCTGCCTGGAAACTCAGCATGGCCGTGTCTGTAGCCACTGGTGTGGCCTGCCGGCTCATCGGAAAATTAATGTAGCAATTAGGTGTGGAAAAAGCTTATCAATAGGCCGTTTAGATTACGCTAATGACCTTCGACGTTGGCTCATGGCTCTTGGTTCTTGGCTCTTGGTTCGCTCTTCGCCCGAGCACTGCAACTATTTACTTTGATTAATTAATCAACAAAGGCGTGAGATTTTCCCTGTTTCCTTGGGGCAATTAGTCTTTGGCCTGGAGCGGATTGGGGCAGCTTAAATACACATTAATTTGTCTTTAAATGTTTTTTTTTTTTTTTTGGGAGGGGCGGTGCTCTGTTACTCTGACCTTTTTGAGCTTTGAATTGTTGTAATTGTCAGGTTGGCACATGTGAAAACAAAACCGCTCTGATTTCAGCCCCCCTCGCAGCGCCCAAATCCGAGGTCTTATCCCATTACACAGATGCGCTGCTATTGACATTTACGATTTGCTCTTGCGTAAAATTGCCAAACAATGCGATGGGATACAAAAGGATTATCGCCGGCCCGCCCTCTTTTTGGGGTGGTTGGGCGAGAGCTGGCAGACTCAACATGATGGGGAGTTAATAATTATTTTATTTTCAGTCGAGTTTAAAGTTGCCTTAAAATTATACCAAGAAATTCTTTACTCATTAGCACTCGTACTCATTGTGGTCAAGAGTGGAAAGTTTAACCATCTACCGACCACAAGGCCCACACACACACACAAAGTTGGGCCAAAGAAAATATGGAAAATTAACTTGCTAACTTGTCCCATAGAAATATGAGGGGCAAAGGCAAACAGTTGACTAAGTATACGCATTGTGCCTTATTCCCTTTTGGGACAGATTCCCATTACAAATGCCACAAAAAGGTGGGCAAGTCAACTTGACAGAGTCGCCGACATGACCTGACCTTTGGTGACATGACATGACAGAAATGACAATGGAAATGGGCAAAACATTTGCAAATTTTAATTAAATTTTCTTCAACATTAGCACATAAAATTGTGCTATTCAATCTCTATCCAGATTGATCGTTAAAGGGTAACTAACACCTTTTCCATTTTGGCAGCTGGAAAAATACGGAAAGAGTTGTGTGTGTCCCGTGTGGAAATTAATATCGAGTGGCTTTTGTGACTCAATTACAATAAGTCTATTAAACTTGTGTCTGCGGCTTGTCTAGACAACACACCAAGCATCCAAGGATCGAGGATACGACCCCGATCAGTCACAATGTCTCCTGTCTCTAGGCTCACAGTCTACAGTCCACAATCGTGAATCGAGCGAGGAGCGCGTGCCCCTTTTGACTTTGGCTGGTTCATTGTGGGCTTCTAACAAAACAGAAACAGCATCGTTGATCTCGAAGGTGAGGGTATGTTGATGATGATGCGAAGGTGTTCCAGCTGCCGATTCGATTGTGGCTGCGTCTCGATTTCACTTTCGCTACGCCTGCGCCATGGTTTTTCGATGGAAAACATGGATTCGATCCTTGCTCTTTTTTTTTGTGACGCATCATCATCATTGCCAGGACCCTCAAGCAGTTCGCTTGGCGAGGGTTTGATTACGCTTTTATTGAGCTCACAAAAGGAGTAAACATTTTGAAGTAGCGCCAAGGATCGAATGCTTTATAGGCTTGTCAGCGGTTCTGTCTGGTCCTGTCTGAAATGCGTTCTGTCAACATATCGGATTACGCCCCCTTTGGCCGATCGCAGGCCCATAATCGCTAATGACAATACAAATTGAGAGTGCCGGCAAGGATTCGGATTCGATTCCATCGGGAGACAGGGAGATGGTCGCTTTGTTATGCGTGTTTTCTGGGAAGACTCAGGCCACTTTGTTGGACAACACACGCACGAAAGTATTTTTATTTTGGCTGCCCTTTTATGAGTGAGTTCGGTTTTTTTTTTTTTTTTTTTTTTTTATTTGTGGGGTTGCGATCGAAGACAGACCAATTGATTGGTATTCGTGGAAGGATCTGCTCGAACGGAGCTTTGACCACAACTGGAGGTTGGCGGCCTGAAAATCAGTTTTCACTTTCCCAAACAACTCCATTAATTTTCCCCCAACTCGCTGCTGGCGCCTACGATCTCGACGGGCAGCCTTTCAATCTGACAGATACTTTCCCTACCCTACTCTGCTCTGTGGTTAATTAAATATTTATACAAATCAGAATCGCTGTGATTAATGATTCGAGGTCCTTCCCGCACTTGTATCAAATGCCAGGCTCTGGCGACCGACATCAAAGCGACTGGTAAAAAGGACACTCGTATCTCTTTGTTTTGGGTGAAAGTGTTCACATCAAACGACCTCTAAATTAATTGTCTTTCCCCCTTTCCCCTTCCCCCTTCCACGTTTTAGTTTGGGGGTCCGATGCACAACTTGATTATCCGATAACCAAAGTACACGGCTCACATGTGAGCCATACAGCTATTGTCATTGTCTCGCTGTCTATCTCAGGCTACTCCAAGTTCCAAGCTGCTTTTGCCTTGTGTGTGGTCGCTGCCTGAGTGTCTTTTGTTGTTCGCTCCGATATATAGTCGTTGTCGCTTTTGTTTGAAGGCCCGGCAAACCCGGCAACTCGACAACAAACACGTCGGTTAAAAGGAGCGACGTGGCAATCATAATTATGCATGTTTGGGCACTGTGGCTAATAGATATGTAGAGGACCACCCTCGCTACGCATCATGATTTATGATAATCAAAGTCAATTCATGGATATTTCATATTCTTCTACACCCTCAAATGCCGCATAACTGGCCGCAAATCAATCGACTGAGATTGACATCTTTTGCACCCAATTCGACGGCCATAAAAAGCGCAGCCAGCCACCCAAATAGTAGCAATCATTACAAGCGCGTTAAGTGCCACTTCCCTTTCCGCTCCTTCGGCCTTTGCAAATATTTGTTTGCAGTTTTCCGATACGCGACTCCTGTCACTCCCCCTTTGCCCTTCTCCCCTCGCCTCTAATCCTATTCTGGCTGCTGTTGTCAGATGTGATTATTAATGTGCTTTAAATAATGAAAACGAAACAACAACCCAGAGTGGCACCCTCAACAACCGAACGAAATTCGAAATCAGTGCGCCGTCCAACGTATGCTAGTTGTCACAAGGGTGCGTCGCTTTCCCAAATCCAGGACCCAGGAATCAGGAATCAGGACCCAGGAACCAGGAATAAACCGAGTGCCAGAAGGACCAACTAATGAGTGTAAACAACGGATGGATGCCGGAAAAAATACAGCAAACAAACTGCCACAAACTGTTTGATTTGTCGCTCAGGACTAATGAAACCAAACATTAGCGAGCCCAGGACACCCTGTCCTCCGCTCCCCCTCCCCTTCCCCTTTTGTCATCGAGGGAAGATAGCTCGAAGGACTTGGTCCTGAACTCGGGGGTTGCCTCTGCCGATTGTTGCAATTTTTTTGCCTTCCATAAAAGGGATGTTGCTAGAGTGTTGCACTGGGCACAAATATTTCGGTTTTTTTACTTAAAAGCCTAAGTATTAAAGGAGAATTTATGGAATTGTTTATTCTTAAAATGTATACGTTTTTTTATACCAATTTTAAAACATTTACTGTTACTAGAATATTTCAACATCATCATTAATAATTTTCTAAAGTTTTATTATAAACAAATAAAATATTTTCTTGCTGGCTCATATCAACAACATGTATTGTTCCTCCCCAATTATTTGTAGTCAGACTGTTATATTCAGTTGATATCCACAGTAAACTTAATCTTTAAAAAATTTATATTTTTGATTGCTTTTAAACATTGTGTTAAATCTTATTCTGCATGTACTACTTCGGTAAACTTATATTATATTTCCGTCTTTTTCAACCTTTCAAAATTCTTTTTGAACTTAAGAAAAATTTGAAAATGGTGTAGTTTTTCATTTCTAAGCTTGCTGATCGCTGATTTTTCCAATTGCTATCATTGCAACCTACAATACTACTTTTGTGTTCATTTTATTCAGTGAAATATTCTCACTTTAAATTTTTTCAAAATTAAAAACACATTTTATCAAAATTAACTAGAGTTTTATTAAAGGTAAAAAATGTATAAGTACACCCCTTGATAATGCAACAATTTGAGTTACTCTTACAGGGAATCTGTTTTGTTCTCAGTGTAGAGTGCAGAGTGTTTGCCCTGGCAATGGGTTCCTGTAAGTTGATTACGTGGTTGACGTTGACACTGAGCTACAATATGAGGGCACGGAATGCGGCTGCATCTATGTGCTATCCTCTGGCTGCTTCTGTGGCAGCTGTCTTCACGTGAATTGCAGTCGGGGCCAGTCGGTGGGACGCTCAACTCTTCATCACCTAGTGGCAGGCACCTTGTGCTGGATTAAGCTACGTGATCGCACTGGCCAATGCTCCTCATCGGTAGCCGTAGCCACCTGGGGGTGTGGTCTAAATATAGCGCCAGTCAAGGGTCAGGGCCTCGGAATAAAACCGAGCAACTGTAGCTGAAATGGGAGCTGGAGGTGAACTAACTGGTACCGAACTCGTGGGAAACTCTCTCGAGTGGCATGCGGGTGTGGTTTTCCTTCTGCGAGTGTGTTTTGGCCACAATTAATGAAATTGTATTTTGTGCTACAATTTTGTGTGATTAATAGTCCGCCCTCGGAGCTTGGAGTCTGGGAAATGGAAATGGAAATCGAGATGATCTGTGGCCGCCGGCGGCGTAACTCGATGCACTTGTTCTAATGAACTCCATCGACTGGCTACAGCAGGTGGGTTATTGAGCAATTAGCTAAACGATCCACTAAACTGTTGACAGTCAGCTTGGGCACTCCAACATCAATCAGAGCTGCAACTTTCACATGGATAGAACACAATTTGTCATCGATTTGTTGGTTCTAGCCACCAGTAGAATTTCTGACATGCTCATTAAAGTTTATCGGAGGAATTTTTCATGGAAAAGCAGTGGATTGAGAGAATAAAACAAATAACTCGAGGGCTGAGGAATGCGAGGGCTAGCAAGGCTCATAAAACTTCAGATCCCCATGGAAGGTACTTGAGTCAGGGGACTCCCATTAGGCCATCCACCCCTGTGTCAGTTAGTCAATAAGCACCGTGCAACACGATCCATCATCGCAAGTCGAAAGCTGCAGAAAACTATTATTGAAACCCGATGCCGCGATGACAACAGACAAACACGGATATTTGACATCCGAGGAGATGAAATGGGGGAGACTGGCTGACATATCATCGGTACTAGCACAGCCCACAGCATGGGATGATATGATGAGATGACTGAATGGGACACAGCTTGCGATCGGCACGCGACTTTTCCAGCAAGCTGCCACTTCAAATGGTTTCCAATAAGCGGCGCCCCAGGATCATGACAGTTATTAAAAACTCAGGCAGGACACCTATCCACCTATCCACCCGACCAGTTGCTAATGGCTTTCTCGCCAGCCTATCAGCATATTTCCATCGACTGCTGATGGATCGCCCACACGTCGCACGCAATTTTCTGTTAAATGCTTTTCACTCGTCATATTTTCCATTTCCCTATTTTCCCTATGCTAATAGCTCGGGGGAAAGTCGGTGGAGGTGGTGCATGCCATGCACCATAAACTCGAATAATGCCAGCACTCGGCACATGCCAACAGTTTTCTTATCAGAGAGGTTAACTGAGAAGCTCCTGGTGGTAATTACTCATGTGGTTGACTTCAAGTAGTTCACGTATACTCAGAAAACAAAATTACTTGATTTTAGGAAAAATTCCTAAGCATGGCCTTAACAGCTAGTCTCTTAAGTATTTTAAGAAAAAAATACCTTTCACTAAGCCTAAGGCCATGTTACTAGTTACATTGCCTTAAGCCAATTTTAAGGTCATATTTTCCTAATTGTATATGAAAGGCTCGACCTTAATGCCATGTATGGCAAAAATTTCCTTAAATTAAGGAATTTTTTCTAATAACCAGGATTTTATTTTTCTTACTGTATATTTTACGCACGAGGCAACGAATATTTTAATGGTTTAACACTGGGTAATACTTCTTGAACTACCAGTTTTTGTGAGCTATTATATAGACGAATGAATAAGCATAATGGCCTACAAAGGTGAAAAACAAAAATTTTAAATTTATTTCAGATTGGAAAAGTATTTATTGGTTGGTTGTATTATTATTATTTAATTATTGTTTTGCATATATTATTAAACAGTGAGATCTTTAATTACTTGTTAAGAATTTAATCGTTGTAACAATTTTCAAAACAGGTCGGAGCCAATAATTGATTTAATTTGTTACTACTCTTTCAATGCTTATTTAATTTAACAATAATTACAAAACAAGTTTAGAAAATATTTATAGATCAACAAGAAATTATATAAATTTTTGACAGTTTGCATAAACCATATAAGGGGCTAAACATTCATACTAACATAAACTTGATTTATTTAAATTACATACATACGAAGTTTCTTAGTTCGTTTCTTAGTTTTTATAAAGCCTATAAGACTTCATTATTCGAATCTATTTGGACAGATGGCAAGTTCGAGCTATGTATTTTAGTCTAAAATGTGAGCCAAAAGTCCAGCTTATAGTCAGTCCGAGTCCTCCAACTTTTGCCAACCCACTGGGACCTCATCCACTGCCCATCTGGCTTCCCACACCCACTGGTCGGTGGAAATATGTCAATGCCTCCCCATCCGCTGAACTTAACCCAATAAATGCCTGGCATTGCTTTGGCTTTCGGTCGAACACAGGCTGCCAAGTGACTCATAAATTGTGGAGTGCCAGGCACTTGGATACATCGCTGGATAAAAAGGGGGCAGCAGATGCCGGGGAGTAGCGTGGTGGACACATAGGTGGACACTTTCTGTATGCAACAGTTGTAGCTGTTGCAGTTGCAACTTCAGCTGCTGCTGCTGCTGCTGCTGCTGCTGCTCCCTTTGTCGTTGTTGTTGCTATTGTTATTTATGAGTTTTGTGATGTTTGTGCAAATTTTTCTATGTAAGAGAGAGGACAACGTTCGCGACCGGATCGCCTTTGTTTTGGCCTTTTTCGCGCGCAGCTTCGAACTGTGTCTTCGAACTGGGGCTTATCGCGCGTCAATTGCCAGACAACTTCATTGCCTGGCCGCAGTTCGCCGAGATTCCTGCGCACTGATGTTGACAGCAGGAGTTCCAAGCACGCGTCTTGGGTATTTTCCTGGGGACCGGGGAAAACCACAGCCGCAGTAGAAGAACTGCCAGCTTTGCGGTGCTCGGTCTGCAATCTAATTACATTTTGTGGGCAAGCAAGCGCAGTGCAAAATTCAACAGCTCTTTGAGCGATTTCCATCAGTCAATAAAACCTGGCCATGGCCAAAACTCCTCGAGAGTTGCCAGTCGCAGCAGGAAACGCAGACACCTCTCGGGCTCAGGCTATGGCTATGGCTCTGACTTTGACTCCGGCTTTAGACCCCATCTGATATGATTTGGACCCTGGGGGCCTGGGGATTGGGTTTGGGTCTGCGCAGCGCTCTCACAACTTTATTTGCGCTTTGGCAGTTCGCGGAAATCGAAATCTGCTGCGACGCTTGGCCCCTTGTCCAAATATTTCGTTGGAAATTGGAATGCCACAATCCCATAACACACTACCATTCCCCTTTAGAAACTTTTCACCTTTTTTGGTTATTTTTGCAACTAACAAATTATGGTACACAGACAGCATATGCTCTCATTGCCGATCTCGATGGCTCCGCTGACAAGCGAAACAATTAAAACTAAAGTGGAAACGATCAAAATGAGCAACCCCGACATGCATTGATCTATGGCCATGCCGACCGCATTCGGTTGCCTTGCAATTTGCATAAATTAATATATTAAAGTTTTCCAACTGGTGGCACCCCCGCAGGATCAGGACCTTTGCTCAAACAACGAGGATGTGGCGTGACTCATGACGGACTTTTCAATTGCCAATTGGATGGATGGTAGATGGTAGATGATGGTAGATGGGTGGTTGGATCGGGAGCGTCATGTGTTGCCCGCTATGCTAATGAGCGGAGGGCAGGACACGAGCCACTCGAATTGGACGACTCCGCTTCTGACATTGTCATGCTCTGGAGCGTAACCAAACTCCGATAAGAGCAATAAAAACGAAAATACGAATACATTTGTGAGCGACCCACTAACGGCCAAGTGGATGAGGCCAAGCTCGACATCACAGATGTGCGGTGGCAGCAATTGAGACTTCTGCGGAGGTGGTCTGCACTTAAATAAATTGTTGGAAGGAACATTAAAGTACAATAATTTAAAAATTAAAGAAATCATAAGGATGTTTTGAGCTTGATTTATATGCCTTTATTGAGCGGCCAAATGTATTTAAGAAATATTATTACATAAATACTAATATAACTTTATACTACTTAACAATGTGACCAATTAGGTATTTATTAACTGATGAAAAAACATAAAAAGAGTGAAAACTATCAGTGAGCTCCAGAATTAGACCACAATTAAATCCAAACAGTAAAAATTAAATTAAAAAAAAATTACAGATAATATTTTATTCTGGATTAGTCGCAAAATAAATTACTTTTTAGGATTTTTGTGTCAGGGTGTGATATTTTTTAAAAGAAATTTTCATAACTTTGTCGCCTCAAATAAGATAGACAAAATATTAATTCCCATAACTCAAAATAAAATTTCTGATCAAATGTAAGTTATTTTATTTAAAAGAACAGTGCAGAATATATTGATAATAATGAAATACACTTTTTTAGTGATATAAACATTATTGCATACAATTTTGATCAAAGCTTTAAAAATGTTTTGAAGTTTTTTTTTCGGAACATAATTTGCCTTGCCTACCACCTCAAATTTCTCACAGTGCCTTAGCATGGCACGCGATCGACGACAACCCATAATGCACGACACGTAGAGCTGTTATCGGGTGCCGACTGTCGTATAATATATGCACCCACACAGCGATGACACGAAGACCCAAAACAACTTTCGGGGGGAGGCTCATCAAATTGGAGAGTTGAGAATATGCCAATTGGCTTGTCACTTGGCAACTGAACAGCGGAAAAACAGAAAAATAAAACAAAGTGAAGCAATTTAAATAAATATGCCTAGTGGCTTGTATTTGAAAAGTACAGTTGTGCCCAAAAGCACCACCCTCTAGACCTCCTTGGTCTGACGACGCCAGTTGAGGGGGAAGAGACGTTTCCAGATCTCGTAGCGCTCGGCATTGAGGTTCTCCTGCAGAGTAAGCTGTTTTCCGATATCCAAGTAGTAGCGTTTCTTGAAGCTAAATGGACGCCAGCGAATATCCCTCAGGGCCAAATCAGTGGGTTTATTGGGATCGCTGAAATAGTTACCCTTTAGTTGAGAACTTAATTGCACTTAATTTAATTACCCCTTATAAGCAAAGGCGGAGAACATTCGCACCATAATGTCCACCATGCGAAATTCTTCATCATCTTCAGTAAACATGCGGCTGATCGAGGGTTCCACAAACAGATACATCAGATCGTCGTGGTGAACCACCCCGTAGGGCGCATCTTCCGGATAATAAATGTGACTTCTGGCACCCTGATACGCGAATCGATAGTAGTAAACCTTCGTCGACCTGGCAGCCAGATGCACAAAACGATGGATTCCAAAACCGGTCAGGGCATCCGAGTAAAGATTGGCCAAAGCCTCCAGCGAGCGATTGGCATCGATGGGCTGCTCCTGAAAGTAGTGATTCCTCAGCTCCTGGCTTATGTTACCCACTCGTGGATCACTCTCGTTGTACATGAAGAACACAGGAGCCAGGGACTCGAAATTTGCATTCAGGGCACTCAACAAAGAAGGGCTTTGAAGGATGGCTAATAAAAACGTTATAAATTTAATAGAATTCTTAAGCTTTAAGGTAACATACACAAGGCGGGTCCAACAAACTCGTCCTTGGTCATTCCCGTTATAATGGGCACTTTCATAAAGTCATCGTTTTGATAGCTTTTAATGGGATCCTCTACCAGAAAGCGTTCCTGCCCAAAGTCCGGTTCTATGACAGGCTTCCATAAAATCAGAGGATTGTTGCGGTCAAACTCAAACATTTTTGGCAAGGTATTGGCGTACTCCAGGTAGTGTTTCTACAAATTATAGTTGTTATAAAACACTTAGGGAGCTACCTATAAAGCTTACTCCTCTCAGACAGTCCACCATTTCGGTGACATTCTCCGTGTGACAATGGAGCAGTGTGGCCTGCTTGGTGGCCACATCCATTTGGTGATCGGGCAGTGACCACTGACCCGTGACAGCTCCACTCATCACGATGGCCTTGTGAAAGAGACCCCTCGACATGGGCGAGACCATGTGCAGGGTCACAGCCATGGCACCAGCTCCATAGCCCAAGAGGGTAATGGAAGTGGGGTCTCCACCGAAGCGGGAGATGTGCAGCTTGACCCAGCGGAGCAGCTGCACCTGGTCCTTGAGGCCCATGTTTCCCGGAGCCTCCTTGCTGCCGGTGGCCAGGAAACCCAGCGATCCCAGGCGGTAGTTGAACGTGACCAGCACCAGTCGGCGATCCATGAAGTACTGGGGTCCAGCGAAGTTCTTGCTCTGACCGGACAAGGAGTAGAATCCTCCAGGATGGATGAACACGATCACGGGCCTTCGCACATTCGGCTGCGATTCGCTGGGCAGCTCCTTGGTGTATATGTTAACTCGCAGGCAATCCTCGCTCACATCGCTACTAATGAGTCCCATCTGCGGACACTTGGGGCCATCGAAAGTGGCGTCCAGGACATCAAACCACTGCTCCACCGGTTCTGGTGGCTGGAAACGAAGGCGATCCACCGGTGGCTTGGCATACGGAATGCCACGAAAGGCATAGAAATTGCGACCCGATTGCGAGGGCAGTATGGTGCCGCGGATCTTGCCCAGGGCTGTGGTGATGACCAGGTCCGAGAGCTCCTTGTTGTACCCAATGGGGTCGTCCTCATCGGGTACAACCTTGCCCAGATCCTCCTCATTGTCCGCCTGGCCAGAAATAAGCCCACAGAGGAGCACAACGCATCCGCAGAGACGCCACATTCTGCAAAAGCTCCACACGCGACACTGTGCCGGCTGGAGCATCAGATCCCGGCTTTTATAGCCCCCGTTCTGGCTGGGATTATGTCACATAAAGTGCTGCAATTGATGCGATTCCACTGGGACACTGACATTGGGCGTTTGCGTTCGCGTTCGCGATCGCGATCTCTTCCCATATCGAATTGCAAGAGTTCGGTTCGTAGTTAGTGGCAGTCCATAAATAACCCACCGCCGGCCACTCTTCCCACACACACACACACCCATTTGAGAGGTATCCCGACGGCCCACGCTTATCTTGGTGTTCTTGGTCCGCTCCAATTTTCCCACGTGAACTTGTTTGCGTGCCGGCAGCTTATTAGATTAGGTGTGCGCCGGAACACCCTGCCATAACCCCGGCTTAACCTCGGCGACCTTACCCTAAAAATTAGAGCCGAAAAGCGATCCTTAAATGCCCGCTAATGGCGTTTAATGGTGATCACAAAAGGTGCGCAAGTCATAAACTTTGGCGAGGGCACATCCCCTGAGATATCGCCGATGAAGTGTGTTAAGAGTGCCCATTGTGCCGACTTCTATGTTTCTTCCGCTCCCTCAAGTCACCTTCCCTGTTCCTTTTCCTTTTCCTTTACCCCAGTACTGTGTGCCAGATCAGACAAAGGCGTGCTAATTGGATTTATATTGGTCTCTCAGAAGAAAGGAACCTGGTAGCTGCTTCTGGCCAAGGGTCTCTGCCCGGGCAGTGTGAAAATGCTTTGTTTTCCACTCTCTGACAAAGTAATCCAATAAATATACTCCCATCTTCAATGGGAACTAAAGAAAGAAACATCCCTTGAAATATGTTTCATAATTATAAGGGCTTCGATCGAGTGTACTTCTCACTTATTGGGTTGTTAAAAGTTTGTAATTGAAGAAACTAAAGATCTGTAAGTTTGGTAACGAACTGAACACATTGTATATAATTCTAAAATGTGAATAAATTCACACAATTTATAAATCACGAATATATATTTAATACTTCTAATCTGACGAAGATTCTTTCAAGCCAAATTGCTTTATGTGGTAAGTTAAAATTTGTACTTTTTCAAATATTCATAGCTAATAAAAGCTGGAATTTTAAAACTTTTTTTTAGAAACTTCTGCTTTTCTAGAAAGATCTTTAAAACTGGAAAGGTTAAAATTTATCTCTTTGTTTAATATAAAAAAAAATATAATAAAAGCTGGAGTTTTACAACTTTTTTTTGCTTTTCTAGAAGATATTTAACAACTGCACTCACGCAAGTACAAACTTAAGTTAATTTAACTTAATTTTTTTAAAGCAAAACATTTATTTTTAAACAGAAATACGTAGTTTTTTTTAACAATCATTTATTTTTTTTTTATTTATGTTAGAACCTATTAAAAATATTTTGGTTTCATTGTCTAATTATTATGTCAATTTATTATGTGAATTTTAGTTTGGCTTGAGCTTTAATAGCTTTTGTGCTTAGCATCTGTAATTATATATTATATTTTCCGCAGGGGCTAAAGACTTTCAAAGACCACAAGCAACTGAAAACAGAGCTGTGAAGCGACAATTGATGACTCTAGCGGCTAGCAGCTGAAGAGGAATTCCTTTTGGATCTGAGGATCACGTAGAGGTGACATCTCCCGGGCTCCTTGGGCGTTGTTTTGTAATTCTGTGGTCGTCGTCACCGTCGTCTCTGTCGCCATCGTGCCTCGCATTACTAGGTAATTGTAACGTCAGCGAAGGCACGGGCTCGGCAGGTGGCACAAAGCCAGAAAAGACAGACGCCTTCGAGTGCCCGACGCTAATGACACCAAACACCAAACACCATACACCACACAGCACACAGCACACAACACACAGCATACAGCAACTGAAACGAAGATGATGTCTTGCCATGCGCCACAGGATGTGTCTGTGGCTCTGGACCAGGGTCTGAAGATTCCCGAGGGCGGGGTGTGAGATGTGGGGTTCGAGGTGTGAAGTGTGCAATTGCCCTCGAGTCATGGATCTCCTGCCGAGCGGATAGCCAAGGAAATCTTGGAGACGACCTGTGGTGATTTTGTGGGATTTTCCTTATAAAAATGTAAAGGCTCTTAATTTACACTCTGATTTAATTACCAGACATTTAGCGGAGTGACTTGTGTGGGCTGCAGCACGAAGTACTTGGAAAACACTGATAGCAATCAATATGGAAAACACCGATAGCAATCAGTATGGAAAACATAGATGGCAATCAGTGAGGCATTTGATAGAGGGCTAAAAATTGGCAAGCATCGCTGTCAAAAGGTATAATTTATTAGCCCGAAATTAGCATCGAATTCTGTTTTGGAAGTAATGCTATTCACCGGGCCAACCTCCCCTTCCCTCCCCTCCGGTAAATGTGCATTGACTAATGAAACGTTTGCCATGGTCGCAGTTGCATTTTTCGAGTGTCCTGCTGACGAGGTCGTTCTGGGCCAAATGATTCGAGTTATTTATGGCCCACAAAATCGTGGTGGCTGCTGCTCCCTTCATTGTTTCGTTGTTTTGGTTGTTTACCTACTGTTTTTGGTCCCACAAATTCCACATAAAAATTGCCAAATATTTCGCTATGCCTTTTGCGTATCCCGTTCGATTACTATTATTTGCCTGGTGTGTCCGCTGCTAATTTGAATGCGATAATACGCCCGCGATTCTGTTGTTAATTAGTGGGATTTGTTTAGGTGGTTTTTATTATGATTCCGATGGAGCCTCTGCAGCAGGCACGCGACAAAAAGGTGTAACAATTTATGCGGGAATGGCAAAGGAATATAGTGCATCAAATTGTTTGCTAGATATGGTAGGGACAACAAGACAAAATAAGTGTATAAAATAATTTAGGGTTTAGTTTAGGGACATTCCATTTCGATTCACTGAAGTTGAAGTTGTGATAATGAAAATTCTATTTCTTATTTTTTTAGTTACATCAAATTTGGTCATAAATATTTAAACTGTCTTAGTCTTTGAAAATTTTTAAAATATTAAAAATAATCTTGAATTGTTAGGTGCAACTGAAATAACATGGCTCTAAATTCAAAGCCCGATGCAAATAGGGAGTATTTAGGAGTACATGTGCTAAATGCATTTATCCAAAAAAAAATGAGTTACATACAAAAAGGCGACAATAAAAAAAAAATATTAATAAATTTTCCGGAATTTGCAATGCTTCTAACAAAGCAATAACCACATTTATCTGTTATGAAATAAAGGTTTCTTAACTTTAACACTACAAATTTTTAAGAACAAATGCCTTTTTAATTAAAAATAACAATATGACTTATTTGATATAATTTTTGGGAGATTGTTGCCTCTTTTCCCACCTTCTTGTTAGCACCCGTCCAACAATGTCCCTGAACAATGCAATTTAAATATCCATTAGGCAGCACTGCCTGCCAAAACAGCTGCCCCGACTGATGAACTGACTGTCTGACTGAATGACTGACTGACTGTCCGATATCAATCACTCCCCTGAATCTGAAGTCCTGCCATGGAATCCGCATATGCAAAAAGAGGCGCACAATCCGCAGCAGAAATAATCGGGACGACATAAACAGCAATCTGGGGGGGAAACGGTAAAAACTGTCAAAGGCAATTGTCAGTGGCTTTGTTTGGACTTGAAGGGGAAGTACCAGCCGCTGGAATGAGTGATTGATCATGCAGGGAGGGAGGGGGAGGGGATCAATACATCAATCTCGAGTGGGCTGAGACCGATGCCCAAATGCCCAAATGATCGTGGGAGTTTCTTGTTGTTGTGTATCTTTCAGTTTGCACCTTTACGAAACGGGGCTTGCGCTGAATGCTGAGCACGTGCTGGAGCTCCAGGCCCGTGGGCACTTAAATCTCCAAGTGTCGTCTAGTCAGAGCAACTGAAGCAGCCAAAAAGGGAAAGGGAAAGGCAAGGGGCAGGGGCAGGGGCAGGGGCAGGGGCAGACAGTGGTGGTAAGGAGACGAGCCAAGGACCAGCATAACTCGGGGCCAGAAGAAGTGCAGCTGTTGGACTGGCGGCTTGCCGCAGTCTTAGCCACTTCCTCTTCGTGGTCTGCTTGAGAAAAGGTGCTCGAGGAGTGGGGCCAAGTGAACCCGTGCCATTCCATCTACGTGCCCTGCATCCACACGCCCATAATTTCCGAAACCATATTAATTGTTGTTATTATTTACTTTGGTTCGCTCTGCGCCGCTTCCACCTGTTACCAGTTACCCAGTTACACTAATTGAATATCAATATTCTGATTCCGCTGACTGCACGCAGCACTTTTCATTTCTATAATCCCCCATTGATGGCCTGATAAGTTAGGCTCAAGCTCATGCTCAAGCTCATGCCATAATCATAATCGTAATCTTAATCGTAATCATAATCGTAATTAACTTAAACGGTTATGCGGACCGTTCACTTCTTGGCGTCTTTGATTCTCAATCCCCGTTTCCCGATCCCATCCAGCTGCTCTTGAGGCAGGTCAAGTCGTGCGTGCCGCTGTCGTCTGGTTTTCAGTTTGGGGCTGGGGACTCAGTTGGTCTGTGATCGGTGATCGGGGATCGGGGATTCAGAATCTCAACGGGATGGAATGGAATGGGATGACTTGATTACCGCCGCATGCGGGATGTTGGTCAGAGATTTCTCGGTTCGCAATTGCGACTGTTTTGTGGGCCATCTGCTGCTGTGCCGCCGTTCTGGTCCACTAAACGAAATCGAAATCCAAATCAACAATCCAGTTAGGCTCTCATCACCTCCCAGCTAGTCGGCGGGGTTTATCTTATCGCAGTATCTGCGACACAGGAGCACTGGCTTTTAATTAATGAGCTTTAGATAAAGAGTTTGGTCAGCACAAGGACAAGGGCAGAAACCCATTCTGAAAAAACAAGATAGTTATTAAACTAGGAGACGTCGCCTAAAATCTTGATAAACATTTTTTCAATTTTTTCTTGGATTATATTTAACTTTGACCAACCTTAAGGTGTAGTATACAGGGTATTATAAACCATTGTTATTTAT